TTTAGGTAAATCGCACAAATATATATGTATATGTGGCTATATCTAATCTAAAAAAGATTTTTCCGATTTTAAAAAAATCACTAACCTAAAATCGAACGAAAATATATATGGGAGCTATAGCTAAATCTGAACCGATTTTAACGAAACTTAACACACATCATTCTACACTTAATTTAGTACGCTATGTCAATTTTCGTGCAAATCGAAAGGTACATGGGGACTTTGGTGCCTCATTTACCTTAAATCGGACGAAAATATATATGGAAGCTATGTCTAGATCTGAACCGATTTTCACGAAGCTTGACACACCATTCTAGACTTAATTTAGTACGCTATGCCAAATTTCGTGTATATCGAAAGATATATAGGGACTTTGGTTCACCATTTACATTAAATCGGACGAAAATATATATGGGAGCTATACCTAAATCTGAACCGATTTTCACGAAACTTAACACACATCTTTCTAGACTTAATTTAGTACGGTATGTCAAATTACCTGCAAATCGAAGTACATATAGGGTCTTTGGTGCACCATTTACCGTAAATCCGACGGAATTATATATGGGAGCTATATTATAATCTGAACCGATTTTTCCCAATTTCAATAGGGTTCGTCTTTTGGCCAAATAAATAAGCTGTGCCAAATTTCATCCAAATCGGATCATAAAGGCGACCTGTACTTTGTTTACAATTTAACATTAACAGACGGACGGACATGCATAAATCGACTCCGAAAGTGATTCTATGCATATTCTCAAAAGGAACCATGGGTCTATCTCGTTTCCTTTAGCATGTTACAAACATATGCACCAAGACATAATACCCTGTACCACACTGAAGGTGAAGGGTAGAAAAACAACGACCTCAGTTGCCACTGAGGGCCATAAAACAAATTCACCCGGACATGAGAGGGATGCATGTTACCATTACATAAACCAAAAAAAATTCGTGGGGACCTCAGATACCACTCTATAACCAATTTGGGAAGACCTCATGTTTATTTTTCGGTAGGAAAAATGGTAAATTTTACAATCATTTTAATAGAATGACAAATTTGGATGATGCCCATATAGCCTCTGTCGCTATTAAAACCAATGACGAACATGGGTAACAGTCGGTAATAATGGACTCGCTAAAGAAAAAAGTGTCTTTTAGTACGATCCACCACCTGTCTCCTTGACCATGGTGGCTAGTACCGCTTTTAGTAGATCAAAATTCATTTTTACATTTAAACAAAGTCTTCATTGGCCAATCGAGTCCTGCCCCATTCATAAGGATTTAATTTTTGAGATCCCCATCCCATATCATCATGACCGGTTTGTTAGCAATTCCGATTATTTCATTTAGTTTTCAATCTTCCCACCACACGTCTCTTGTACATCAGCGCAGCATCAATAAATAATTTTCAACACACACAGTCATTTTATCTGTACATTGGTTGTGTAAAACTTTTGAATATTTTCTTTTTTATTCAACACATTATTTTTTTCAGAATATTGGCAAACCCAATACAACAGAATACAATATGCATTTGGATTGGGTTTGAATGCACATTTACAAAAAAATAAGAATCTATAAACTTCTCTTCTATTGGAAAGATGGACGCAGGAGGTGGTTGATGTTGTTGTTGTTGGCTGTTGTTATACACCACACACACATACCATGACAATAAATGCGAATAGCACACATTTACTTCAATGGAATGAATCTGGAACTGTGGGTGGCACCAATACCGGGACGACCGTGCTTAACGGGTTTGTAGGTCAAAGCAAATTCACCCAAGTAATGACCGATCATTTCAGGCTTAACTTCGACTTGACCGAAGTCCTTGCCGTTGTAGACACCAATGATGGAACCGGTCATTTCGGGAACAATGATCATGTTTCTCAAGTGGGTCTTGACAATTTCGGGCTTCTCATTTGGTGGAGCCTCCTTCTTGGCTTTGCGCAATTTCTTGATCAAGGCCATTGGTTTGCGTTTCAAGCCACGGGAGAAACGTCTGCGGGCACGGCTGTGCATCAATTCAACCAATTGCTTGCTACACAAAGAGAAAAACACAACAATTAGCATGATTCCAAAATCATAAATAGATATTATGGTACTTACTTGGGCATATCCAACAATTGGTCCAAATCGACACCACGGTAGGTGTACTTTTTGAAGGTACGCTTCTTCTTAAGAGTTTCGTCGACCTGCAAAAAAGGACATAATATTGAATAGATTAGTCACTGTGTAGTAACACAAACTGCATAATATTCCACAATTTCTAGTAGATCATCACAAAATTTTATTTACATCTTCTTCGCAATTGAATTTGTCACAAAATTATCACATATTTTTCAATATTCTATTTAGGATGTAAAATATTTTTGAAGATTTTTCACTGAAAAATTTACCTCAGCCATCTTGACGTTTCAGTTTACAGAACGGAAAGAAAAACAACAGGGTTGCGTGTTGCCAATCTTGAAAAATTCAAGGTGTTTTCATGTTGTCAGCACTGTGTGAGAGATTTGCCAACTTCTTATTTGTGTAGGGTATTGCCATAACTGAGATATGAAGGCATGTGTTGCCATGTTAGAATGACATAATGGAACAATGGTATAATAAGATTTATTTTAAGAAAAGAATTAGAAAAAAAGATATTTATGCACTTCCATTTGTAGCATATATGAATACAAATTTAAGTTTTATTACAATGCGTTTATACGGGGCAATTTTTGTACACATACTATATTAAGACGACAATATTTCTACTCCTTTGCGTCTTGTTGCGAAAAGAATTAGTTGAAGAAATAAGAAAATACAACTCTGTATTGGCTTATTATTAGTAGAATATTTATAAATATCTTGCGTCCGCCATTTATATGAGGGATGTCTTAATATATAGACCTATAAATATTGAATTTTTTACTTTCAAAGAACTCGATTGCTTTTCTACATCACATTGGAAAAAAATCCGACTTTAAAGTTTGAAATAGGAAAAGGACCAAGAATATTTTTCAATCCCTAAAAGAGGAGTGGATTTTTAAGGAATATTTTTTTAAGATTCCACCAAGGCGTAGATTTTTTTAAAGAATATTTTTCAAGTTCTAGAAGACGAGTGGATTTTTAAAGAATATTTTCAAGACCTAGAAGAATATTTTTTAAGATATTCTTCAAAACGTTGATTTTAAGGAATATTTTTTCAATGACCACAAAAGTCGTCAATTCCTTAAAGAATATTTTTTTAATGATCTTAAATGCGTGGATTTTTCAAGTCGTGAATTTTTTAAAAAATACGGGGTGAGATAAAAAAACTGCAACAAAGTCAAAAGCCAAAAATTTTACATTTTGTTTTAAATTTTATTGAATAAAAGCAAAATTTTCGGAAATAGCATAAAACTTTAGAATAAGTTTACATTTGTTCGAATTTGTCACCTTTGGCACAAATTATGGCCTTCAAACAGCCAATGAAACCGTCACACGCTGTCCGAATGTTGCTCTGTGGTATTTTAGCTCATTCCCGGTGAAGTGCTTGCTTGAGGTGATCGACACTTTGGTATTTTTCTATTGCTTTCCAAAATACTGCAGACAAAATAGTCCAACGGATTGGTATCCGGAGATTTTGGTACCCATTGTGCCCATTTGTAACCATTCTTGGTTGGCGCGTGCTGAGTGCTATGGTGCTGAGTCCTGTTGGAAAGTCCAAGGTCAGCCGCCAAAATGTTATAGCGATAATATTTGGCATTTATTCTGATACCATCGGCTGTTATGGCGGCCTACACCATCACCTTGGCCTGCTGGACAAGGAATGTTTTCTCATTGGAATAAAACCAAATTCGTCAGTTCACCACTTTCGGCCTAGGGGAGCAACTCTTTAGCTCTTTTGAGCGTATTTTCTTTCTGTTGCGGTGTAAGTTCTTGCTCACTTTGCAATTTCAATGGCTTTACCCCGAGCTTATTTTTCAATATTTGTCGAATGGAATATTGTGATATGTTCAGCGTCGCGGGTTTCGATCAAGTCGCTTATTTACTTTTCGAACCAAAATAAGCAGATTTTGCTGTTTTCTTCCGTCCACTTCCTTGACGTCGGGCTACGCTACCAGTGTCACGGTAACGAGCGATGGTACGAGACACAAAAGATTTATTCACATTTAAATACTGGAGTGCTCTAACGATAGCCACTTGTGGTTTTCTGGACAAATATAAAGAAATCACACGATCACGCTTGAATTGAATCTCGAATAAGTTTTTTTTTTCGGGGAAAAATTCTCACCAAAATATAATGAGCTGTCACTGGAATAATTTTAACAGCTTTCGGACGAGTGGCTTAGAATGACAGCAGTTTGAAGGCTTGGATTTTTAAAAATATTCATTCAAAAGCCCATAAAATGCGTATATATTTTAAAGAACATAACAGTATATTTTTTCAAATACCATAAACAGCGTGGATTTTCCAAAACATTCTTTCAAAGATCATAAAACGCCTGGTCCCAAGGTTTTGAATACTATGTCAAATAAATTGAAGTATATTTAAATTTAAGGTCTGTTCCCGTACTGCAAGAATCTACTATTTTTTACTACAATAACGAATTTTCCTTTATGATATCGAAGAAAATAGTAAAATCTAGTAAATTCTTGCAGTAAGGGAACATACCATTATTAGAAATGAAAATGATTTTTTTAACACGTTCGTTTGGAAATAATTACTTTTGGTCTGTTCCCGTACTGCAAGAATCTACTAGATTTTACTATTTTCTTCGATATCATAAAGGAAAATTCGTTATCGTAGTAAAAAGTAGTAGATTCTTGCAGTACAGGAACAGACCATTTGTTATGGGCGAAACATATATTCCATGGTACTACCTACTGGATTTTGGAAAGAAATCATAACCTTTCATTCATTTTTCGAGTTTTTAGTTATGTGTTGAAAAATGTCAAATAAACACAACTACTTTTTGCGTATATTTATTTTATATTTGGCAGAAGCCACCACCTATATAGTATTATTACCCTACCTTCTATTATTGTAACATGCTAGAACACCTGACACATGTTATGTTCCTGCACTGCAAGAATCTACTACTTCAGTAAGGGAACATACCAACAATATCCGATTATGTTAGTAGAATATTACCAATTAATTACTAGATTAGTAAATATCTCATACAGTGTGTTCCCGTACATAAAAACTTTTTCAATTTTCCTTTAAAAACATTGTAAAATTGTATTTCATGTATTTACCAATTCCCATGTATGGGTTTCATCGACTAATCGTTTTCGATTAGTAAACAAAAACACATCTAATCGACTACTTTTCAAAAAGCTGATTGACTTTTGCGTCAGCTGTTCTTGTTTTAGTTGACGTTCAGTGTAAAAAGAGCTTCTTCCTCGTAGACAACAGATCGAAACACACATACACGCAGAAATAGAAAGAAAACATTAAAAAATACATCACCTAAGCAAGACAAATTGGTGTTTTTGCTGACGTTTATGTTTTAACAAAAATTATTTCCTTAGTTGCAGTTGTTGTTTTTATTAAAAAAAATTATCTAGCTAATTGGTGTTATCAATAAAATACAAAAAAGAAAAGAAAACAATTCAATTTCCCAACGAAAGCCACAAAATGTTTAATTACAAAATCCCTTGTGTTGTTGTTATTGTTTTCGACGAGCTGATCCTTTGACGAGTTTTTTTGAGTTGATAAGAAACAAAAATCCCTTCGAAAAAAGAATAATTATTAATTTTTGTTTATAAATGCCACATAATTAACTGTGTTTTTTATTCAGTTAATAGAAAAGTGAGTGAAAATATTCAACGTGTAAATTACGAATAAATTCGGAATCCATTTATGGCTGTTGTTGTGGGTGCACTAACCGCAAAACTTTCTTGTTTTCATTTTATTTATTTGGTATTATAGTTGCCCCCAACTGAAAAAAGTGAAAGTTTTGCACATCTATCCGATTCGAGGTCGTCGTCATCTTACATGTTCAATGTGAAGTTCATTGGGTCATTCATTGATAAACAAAAAATCGCTGCTGCTAATCAAGGTCTTCTCAAAACCTTTTGTCTTCTTCACCTGCATCTTGTTTGTGTGTGGTTTTTGCTGCTGTAACCAAGCGACTGACCGACCTACCGGCTAGTCAACCTTGAAACTATTGTAAAAATGTTGGCCAATTCCGGTTATGTTATGACGCTAGCCAATAGCATTATTGGTGTCGGCATATTAGCTATGCCGTTTTGTTTTCAGAAGGTATGTACAGATGTGTGTTTGTTTGTTTGACTGTTGACAATATTTTTGTTTATGTATCGTTTTTGTTGTTGTCTTCTTTTGATGAAAATTAACAAATTCATGTTGATGAATTGTTGATATAATTGATAATACCCATACACTTATTTTGATTGTACCTATGTTTATTTAGTTTAAAATTGTTGACAAATTCGTAATCGTTTTGAATTAAACAAAAAATGAAAATACCGTTAGCATTATCTCTACTATGTATTTATTTAAAATTATCTTGCCAAAAATGTTTGGGTATTTTCGAGAAAATCATGATAATGATAAGATGTTGAAGTTAATTCATAGAAATAATAAATCGGTTGAACATAAAATTGGATTTAGAATAAAACAAGTAAAAATGTCGTCAGGCCTCCATCATGAGGTGGACAGTCAAAATACCTTAACTCGATAGTGACCAAAACTCAAAAATATCGAAACATTGGGAGTATCGATATATGGAGCCTATATTAAAAGTGGATCGATATATCCCATTATTGGAACAAATATATAAAACATTCAGTAATATCTATCAAAAAATCCACTGAATCGAAGAAATTTAAAATCAAAAATAGAAATGGACAACCTTGGCTAACGGACGAACTAAAAAGTTACTGAAGAGATCATTTATATAGAAAATATCGGAAAAATAAAAAATTCATATTATTTCCATAAATTTATTCAAAACAGAAGCAATATCAGAGAAGCTTGGGCAACCATTAATTAAATAATTGGAGAGATGCAATGACATAGATGAAACGGTGAAACTTACATCTTACCATTTTTATACCCTCCACCATAGTGGAGGCAGATCAAGTTCGAAGATGGGATATATCGGTCCACGTTTACGCATAGCTCCCATATAAGGGTACCCCCCAATTTTCGGTATTTTGGGGGTTCTTGAGCGCGTTTTTCAGCCGAATTCGCTGAAATTTGCTACACTGGGTTTATATTGGGTATTAAATGCCTCCACAAAAAATTATAAATATAGGTCCACTTTTTCTGGTAGCCCCCATATAACGGTACCTCCCAATTTTCAGTATTTTGGGGGTTTTGATCGTATTTTTCTGCCGAATTAGCTGTAATTTAGTATTTTGAGTTATTAATAGGTATAAAATCTCTCAAAAAAAATATGAATATAGGTCAATTTTTTCGGATAGCCCCCATATAAGGGAACCCCCAATTTTCGGTATTTTGGGGTTCTTGAGCGCGTTTTTCAACCGAATTTGCTGTAATTTGGTGTTTTGTAGTCGTATATGGTAACAAATATTTCTACAAAAAATTATTAATATTCGCCCCCTTTTTAGAGTAGTCCCCATATAACGCCCTTTTTTATATTAAAATAGTTATCTGATTTGTTCCGCGTTTTGAGTTTGGTTCTAAGACTCTGTTGCAATCATTTCACCTGCAGAGGATAGCGAGATAAAAAAAAATTAGAACGCAAGGTTCGATAATGAACTATAGCCGCATTTAGACCTAGTACCTATGTGGAGGTTTCAGAAGTAGTGGACCCCAAATTCGAATTTGAATTATCAATTAAAAATTTCGGAAATGGTTTACATAATCCGTTTTTAGGCATGTCGGTATAGGTGTACTTTTTGGTATGTTCCCTATATTTTCATTTCTAGTACCTGTCAGTATATCTATGGTGGAGGGTATTCAAAGTTCGGCCCGGCCGAACTTAACGCTTTTTCACTTGTTGTAAATAAAAACATACTCGAAGTGGCTGAACAGTTTGCAGAACAATTTAAAGATAACGTTGTGAAAATAGTACACGTGAGTGATAAAATTACTCTTCCAAAAAAAACCAATTATTATTGTTATCGAAAATACAAACGTTATGGAGATCAAAAACATCTTAAAAAGTCTCAAGTCGAAATCATATCAGAAACCAAAACAGCAGACCTGATAAATAGAAGCCTAAATGAATCGACTATTGCAGACAGATATACTCAAAGTTTCAATTATTCGTCCAATCCACAAGAGTGCGGAAATAGGCCAATATCAATTTTACCAGTCATCGAAAAAGTCCCAGAAGAAATAGTCATGAGAAAATTGTATAACTAAATGATACACAAAAATCAATACGGATTCCAAAAAAAAAAAAAAAAAAAAAATCAATCAGCTTTTGGGGAATTTCACAAATGTTATAAACCAAAGCCTATCCGAACAAAATCAATGCATAGTAATGTTCATCGATTTCAGCAATGCTTTGATACATTATCACATCCGAAACTGCTATGCATATTATTATGCATTATGTTTTAGTACATATCGTTAGCTAAAATGCAAAATAGCGTAACTAACAAAAGCATAATTGTGTAGGAGAAGCAAAAAACTGTTTTGAATGAAAACTATAAACATGTCATCTGAAATGAAAAAGTATGCCCGACAGGGTGATATTGCATATGACGAATAATAGACTATACTTTTTTTTAACAAATTTAGTTATTTAGTTTAATGGCAGTCATAACAATTTTTGTTAGTTACGCCTTTTTGCATTTATCAAATAAACCCACTTGTAGTTACGTCTTTTTGTTTTTTGTTAATATAAGCTCCTTTTTTGACCGCAGACGTGTACAACTTTGTCAACACATGTAGTTGACATTCACAATACACATTCAAAAAGTCAATTTTCAATTTTTTGTTAGTTACGCTTTTTTTGCATTTTAGCTGATGATATGTAATTAATAGGCAAAAGGAAACGAGATAGGCCAATTGTTAGTTTTGAGACTATGCATAGAATACCTTACTGAGTCGATTTATGATTGACCGTCCATACGTCTGTCCATGTTAAATTATAAACCAAGTACAGGTCGCATTTATGATTCCACTTATTTCGCCCAAGGACGAACTATATTGAAATTAGAGAAATTGGTTCAGATTTAGATGTAGCTCCCAAATAAAAAATTCACACATTTCCACATAATTAACTCATTTCACAATGTTTAATCGATTCATGCAAAATTTTGCATACATATTGATGTAGGTGAAGATTTTTATAAATCGGTTCTGGAAGCAGAAATCGTTGTACTGGTGACTATCTTTGTGTTTTGTCAGGCGGTTCTTAAAGCCATCTAATCCTGTACTTTCAAATCTGAGGCCGTCTTCGAGTGTAGAGCAGTTTTAGAAACACTCACTTACAGCTATCGGTTGTGTTGGGTACCAGGACACCGTGACATCATGGGTAATAAAAAAGCAGGCGAATTAGCTAGACGAGGATCTCAATCTACAGATCCAGCAATCGATGGCTCAATCAACACCCATCTGTCATCTTTTTCGGAGCTTTGAGGCGTTCTTCGACGAACGAGCCAATGAACTATGGCACAACGAATCTAGGTCCAATGTGTCAAGATCAATCTGGCCGACCTGAGAAAAGATGAAATTATAGTAATGTATTAGAGTAAATTATTGGTCATTGCAATATCAGGGTCTTTACCTGTAAATGGGACCATGATGTTACTGATTACTACAGACTCTGTGCTGACGAGGAGAAGACAGAGACAATTGAGCATCTTCTGTGTCGTTGTCCACTTCTGGCCTACAGACGGCACAGGCTAATGGTTGCCCACTTGCCACCACTTGTCTCTCAACTACTTTTCAATTATGGAACCTGCTTTAATCTACAGCATCATTAGAAACCTAAAATGGTTGGGAAAGTGCAACCTTAGCACGGAATATGTTTTCTGTCCAATTTCTATAGCCATCGAAACTATTCCCACCTACCTAGATAAAGCTCTCATATATGTTTTTGTCGGATTTTCTGGAAATGGTCGACTAAATTCCCATGGCTTGTCCGAATCAGACTAAATTTGGAATACCATAACATATTGAGTCTATTATGTTAAATTCCGAAAAATCGTTTAAGATTTAGATTTAGCTCCAATATGTATTATAGGTTTACAATCCAGAATTGGATTTTATATTACGTCAGAGAGGCCACCATGAAGCCTCTTCTTTTTGCTTCATAATCTCTCAAGAAAAATATAAAACAAATCCTCCTGTTTTGGCTCAATAATCCCTCAAGAAAATTATTTAAAAATCCACGCATTTGGGGTATACAATCCCTAGATTAGGAGTAGGTTTTTTTAAAGAACAATTTTCCAAGTCCTGATAAGTCGTAGATTTTTTCTAAAGAATATTTCGACCGATTTTATGTAAATAGTGCACCAAAGCCTATATATTTCTTAAATATACACGCAATTGTGCATGACGTGTTATATTGAGTGGAGGTGGCTAATTGAGCCTACAATGTGTTGTATTAAATATCTCTGCCGAAGTCCGACCGACCGCAAAAATTTATTATTTACGTAGAAAGAAAGTCGATATAGGGATACCAGTTGAGTTTTGGAAGCCTACATTTAAGAAAGAATTTTCAAAAAAGATACCATTGTGAATTTGAAAATTCATGGGAAACCCAAGATTCTCAGAGATATGGAGATTTGAGGTCCATATCTCAAAGAGTTTGTGAAATTACTGCCACTTCGCTGGAAAATGCCATCAATACCTTCAAAGTATCCAAAATGAGCCGGGTGCTTTACATAGCTGCTATGCCCACAAAATGGACCTCTATCGGTGGGAAAATAACCCTATAAAATACAAAAAAATAGGTGTGATCTTTAAAAGTTGGGGTTGTCAAAAATTTACCTATATTGCATTTTTTTTGTCGATAGATGATAGAATATAGAAAATTATACATCTACCCCATGTAGGTACATTGGTTAGATCACTTATTAGTGACCCATATTCAATAAATTTTATATATCAAATGGTTCCATAGAAATATGAAATTGAAAATATTCACTATGCAACATCTAAATTTGTGGATTTAATTTTTATTCTTTCAAAGATTTCAAAACAACCTTTTTTAAACATAATGATCCCTATAGTAGCCACAAGTGTTTTGTTTATGAAATTCACATGAATATGCAAATATTAACACTTCCATATTTTTTTGTTGGATTTTGTTTATCATTTACAGTGCGGCATTATTTTATCAATTGTTTTGTTGGTGGCCAGCAATTGGGTAACACGAATCTGTTGCCATTATCTCATAAAAACGTCATTGCTCACACGAAGAAAAAGTATCGAACTCTTGGGTAAGTTCTTACAGTTCTCAAACCACACAACAAGTTGGCAATGTCGATGATATCTGTCTGACTGACTGTCTGTCTGCTTTCGCAACATTTGTAGGTTTTCATGCGTTTGGTACATCGGGCAAATTGTTGGTAGAGCTATGCATCATCGGTTATCTGCTGGGTACGTGTATTACCTATTTTGTGGTAGTCGGCGATTTGGGACCACAAATTGTTAAGAAAATGTTGTCACTCGAACATGACTATCATCATTTGCGGACACTGTTAATGTGTGGCGTAACGCTGGTGTGCATTATCCCATTGGGTATGTTGAAAAATGTCAGCAGTTTGTCAACGGTGTGCACCGCATCGATTGGCTTTTATGTTTGTTTGGTTATCAAAATTATTTTGGAATCGAAAACACACATTAAGGCCAATGATTGGACCGGTGAGGTGGTATATTGGCAGCCGAGTGGAGTGCTGCAATGTTTACCAATTTTCAGTATGGCTTTGTCGTGTCAAATGTAAGGGTGATTATGCAGATTTTATTTTTGGTTTGTGGTAAATTAATTGTCGGTTTTGATTCTAGGCAACTTTTTGAAGTCTTCACCACCATAAATAATCAAAGTCTGGAGAAGCTGAACGGTATTGTGCGTAATGCAACATGGATCTGCACCTTTGTCTATATAGCTGTGGGATTTTTTGGTTATGTTGCCTTTTGTACGCAGAAATTTTCGGGTGAGTAGTTTTTAATTTTATTTATAAAATATTTGTTAATGATTTTTTTTTATTTTTAGGAAATATTTTAATTAACCTATCCCCATCCTTTGGCAGTGATGTCATCAAAATTGGTTTTGTTCTATCGGTGGCCTTTAGTTTCCCTTTGGTTATATTTCCTTGTCGTGCTAGCCTGTATTCCTTATTATATCGAAAGGTGAGTATTATAAGTTTACAATCGAGAATTGTATTTTATAGTACGTCTTCAGATGAAGTTTTTTTTAAATCCACGCCTTTAGAATCTCAAGAATCTTTTTTAAACAAACATATGCACAAAAAATAATACCCTGTACCACAGTGTGGTGAAGGGTATAAAAATCCACGCCTTTGGGCTCTATAATCCCTCAAGAAAATTTGTAATAGAATCCTGGCCTTTAGGCACTACAATCCATCAAAAATCTTATTAAAAAAATTCTCGCCTTTGGACTCTATAATCATTCAATAGACTTATTAATAAAATCCTTGCCTTTGGGCTCTATAATCACTCAAGAAACTTATTAAAAATATGGAACCCTTTAGGCTCTGCAACCTCTTTAGAAACTTACTAAATAACTCTAAGCCTTTGGACTCTACAATCCTTCAAGAAAATAATTAAAAAATAATTAATTAATCCTTGCGATTAGCCTTATAATCCTTGAGAAACTTATCACAAAAATGCATGCTTTCAGGCTCGGGAATCCCTCAAGAAAAAAATTCTCGTCAATGGGCTCTATAATCTCTCAAGAAATTTATTAAATACCCCACGCCTTTAGGCTCTATAAAACTTAAAGAATAATATTTTTTAGTCCCTCCACAAAAAATACAAATAATTGGTCTCATTTATCGGGATAATTAAAAAGCGTAGATTTTATAAAAAAATATTTTCCCTGCCCTGATAAGGTATACATTTTTTTAAATATATTTCTCGAGTTAAGGCGTAGATTTTTTAAAGAATATTTTTCCCGAGTCCTGATAAGGCGCAGATTTTTTAAAGAATAATTTTCCCGAGTCCTGATAAGGCGTAGATTTTTTAAAGAATATTTTTCCCGAGTCCTGATAAGGCGTAGATTTTTTAAAGAATATTTTTCCTGAGTCCTGATAAGGCGTAGATTTTTTAAAGAATATTTTTCCCGAGTCCTGATAAGGCGTAGATTTTTTAAAGAATATTTTTCCCGAGTCCTGATAAGGCGTAGATTTTTTAAAGAATATTTTTCCCGAGTCCTGATAAGGCGTAGATTTTTTAAAGAATATTTTTCCTGAGTCCTGATAAGGCGTAGATTTTTTAAAGAATATTTTTCCCGAGTCCTGATAAGGCGTAGATTTTTTAAAGAATATTTTTCCCGAGTCCTGATAAGGCGTAGATTTTTTAAAGAATATTTTTCCCGAGTCCTGATAAGGCGTAGATTTTTTAAAGAATATTTTTCCCGAGTCCTGATAAGGCGTAGATTTTTTAAAGAATATTTTTCCTGAGTCCTGATAAGGCGTAGATTTTTTAAAGAATATTTTTCCCGAGTCCTGATAAGGCGTAGATTTTTTAAAGAATATTTTTCCCGAGTCCTGATAAGGCGTAGATTTTTTAAAGAATATTTTTCCCGAGTCCTGATAAGGCGTAGATTTTTTAAAGAATATTTTTCCCGAGTCCTGATAAGGCGTAGGTTTTTTAAAGAATATTTTTCCCGAGTCCTGATAAGGCGTAGATTTTTTAAAGAATATTTTTCCCGAGTCCTGATAAGGCGTAGATTTTTTAAAGAATATTTTTCCCGAGTCCTGATAAGGCGTAGATTTTTTAAAGAATATTTTTCCCGAGTCCTGATAAGGCGCAGATTTATTAAAGAATAATTTTCCCGAGTCCTGATAAGGCGTAGATTTTTTAAAGAATATTTTTCCCGAGTCCTGATAAGGCGTAGATTTTTTAAAGAATATTTTTCCTGAGTCCTGATAAGGCGTAGATTTTTTAAAGAATATTTTTCCCGAGTCCTGATAAGGCGTAGATTTTTTAAAGAATATTTTTCCCGAGTCCTGATAAGGCGTAGATTTTTTAAAGAATATTTTTCCTGAGTCCTGATAAGGCGTAGATTTTTTACAGAATATTTTTCCCGAGTCCTGATAAGGCGTAGATTTTTTACAGAATATTTTTCCCGAGTCCTGATAAGGCGTAGATTTTTTAAAGAATATTTTTCCCGAGTCCTGATAAGGCGTAGATTTTTTAAAGAATATTTTTCCCGAGTCCTGATAAGGCGTAGATTTTTTAAAGAATATTTTTCCCGAGTCCTGATAAGGCGTAGATTTTTTAAAGAATATTTTTCCCGAGTCCTGATAAGGCGTAGATTTTTTAAAGAATATTTTTCCCGAGTCCTGATAAGGCGTAGATTTTTTAAAGAATATTTTTCCCGAGTCCTGATAAGGCGTAGATTTTTTAAAGAATATTTTTCCCGAGTCCTGATAAGGCGTAGATTTTTTAAAGAATATTTTTCCCGAGTCCTGATAAGGCGTAGATTTTTTAAAGAATATTTTTCCCGAGTCCTGATAAGGCGTAGATTTTTTAAAGAATATTTTTCCCGAGTCCTGATAAGGCGTAGATTTTTTAAAGAATATTTTTCCCGAGTCCTGATAAGGCGTAGATTTTTTAAAGAATATTTTTCCCGAGTCCTGATAAGGCGTAGATTTTTTAAAGAATATTTTTCCCGAGTCCTGATAAGGCGTAGATTTTTTAAAGAATATTTTTCCCGAGTCCTGATAAGGCGTAGATTTTTTAAAGAATATTTTTCCCGAGTCCTGATAAGGCGTAGATTTTTTAAAGAATATTTTTCCCGAGTCCTGATAAGGCGTAGATTTTTTAAAGAATATTTTTCCCGAGTCCTGATAAGGCGTAGATTTTTTAAAGAATATTTTTCCCGAGTCCTGATAAGGCGTAGATTTTTTAAAGAATATTTTTCCCGAGTCCTGATAAGGCGTAGATTTTTTAAAGAATATTTTTCCCGAGTCCTGATAAGGCGTAGATTTTTTAAAGAATATTTTTCCCGAGTCCTGATAAGGCGTAGATTTTTTAAAGAATATTTTTCCCGAGTCCTGATAAGGCGTAGATTTTTTAAAGAATATTTTTCCCGAGTCCTGATAAGGCGTAGATTTTTTAAAGAATATTTTTCCCGAGTCCTGATAAGGCGTAGATTTTTTAAAGAATATTTTTCCCGAGTCCTGATAAGGCGTAGATTTTTTAAAGAATATTTTTCCCGAGTCCTGATAAGGCGTAGATTTTTTAAAGAATATTTTTCCCGAGTCCTGATAAGGCGTAGATTTTTTAAAGAATATTTTTCCCGAGTCCTGATAAGGCGTAGATTTTTTAAAGAATATTTTTCCCGAGTCCTGATAAGGCGTAGATTTTTTAAAGAATATTTTTCCCGAGTCCTGATAAGGCGTAGATTTTTTAAAGAATATTTTTCCCGAGTCCTGATAAGGCGTAGATTTTTTAAAGAATATTTTTCCCGAGTCCTGATAAGGCGTAGATTTTTTAAAGAATATTTTTCCCGAGTCCTGATAAGGCGTAGATTTTTTAAAGAATATTTTTCCCGAGTCCTGATAAGGCGTAGATTTTTTAAAGAATATTTTTCCCGAGTCCTGATAAGGCGTAGATTTTTTAAAGAATATTTTTCCCGAGTCCTGATAAGGCGTAGATTTTTTAAAGAATATTTTTCCCGAGTCCTGATAAGGCGTAGATTTTTTAAAGAATATTTTTCCCGAGTCCTGATAAGGCGTAGATTTTTTAAAGAATATTTTTCCCGAGTCCTGATAAGGCGTAGATTTTTTAAAGAATATTTTTCCCGAGTCCTGATAAGGCGTAGATTTTTTAAAGAATATTTTTCCCGAGTCCTGATAAGGCGTAGATTTTTTAAAGAATATTTTTCCCGAGTCCTGATAAGGCGTAGATTTTTTAAAGAATATTTTTCCCGAGTCCTGATAAGGCGTAGATTTTTTAAAGAATATTTTTCCCGAGTCCTGATAAGGCGTAGATTTTTTAAAGAATATTTTTCCCGAGTCCTGATAAGGCGTAGATTTTTTAAAGAATATTTTTCCCGAGTCCTGATAAGGCGTAGATTTTTTAAAGAATATTTTTCCCGAGTCCTGATAAGGCGTAGATTTTTTAAAGAATATTTTTCCCGAGTCCTGATAAGGCGTAGATTTTTTAAAGAATATTTTTCCCGAGTCCTGATAAGGCGTAGATTTTTTAAAGAATATTTTTCCCGAGTCCTGATAAGGCGTAGATTTTTTAAAGAATATTTTTCCCGAGTCCTGATAAGGCGTAGATTTTTTAAAGAATATTTTTCCCGAGTCCTGATAAGGCGTAGATTTTTTAAAGAATATTTTTCCCGAGTACTGATAAGGCGTAGAATATGTCTATTCAAGCCCAGCTAAGGCGTAGATTTTTTAAAAAATATTTTTTTCAAACCCTTATTAGGGTAGATTTTTTAAAGAATATTTTGTCAGGTCCTCTTTTTATTAAAAAACTCATCCCGTATATTTTTTGTTTTACTTTTTTGTTCAGGGTCAAATGGACGCCTCGGCCTATATTCCAGAAACCAGATTCAAAGCCATTACCCTCTTCATTGTGATTTTCTCTTTGGGTGTGGCCCTCACCATTCCATCAGTTGAATTAATTATCGGTCTGGTTGGTTCAACAATTGGTGTTGCGATTTGTGTTATGTTTCCGGCAGCTTGTTTCCGATCAATTATACGCAAAAATAGCATGGAACGTAGTCTGGCCCAGCTAATAATTATTGGTGGGTTTTGTCTTATGATTTTGGGTACGTACGCCAATCTTTCCGCCATTGATGAAAAAAGTTCCGGACCCCATATGGAAGTGGCAAAAATTGATGAAATCTTGCTGAAACCAACAGAGCTACCAGCGCCTCATAATCTCCTGGATGAAAAAATTAAAAATATTGAAAAGGCTATGGAAGAGAAATATGCGGCCAAAGTTGAAGAAGAAAATAAAAATCAGGGACTAAAACAGAGTCTGGAAAATCCCATTAAGGCCAATAATAATTCACAAATAACAGCGAAGATAGAGAAACCATCACCGCCACCATTGCCGGTGGATGAAATACATTTACCACATGTCGATGAGGATATAAAGGAAAAGAAAGTTGAGGAGGTTAAAACGGATTTGGGGCTAGAGAAAAATGAGGAAAATGTCCAGCCACCAGCTGCCCCTAAAGAAGAAGAAATCAATATTCAAGCAAAAGAAAGTAAATCAGACATTAAAATTGTGGAAAACAAAGAGGTAGGGGATAAGAAATCAGAAAATTCCAAAACCACAGCTGCATTGCCACAACAAACCATTGACCATGATGCCATTCGCAAGGATGAAGAAATTGCCAAAGAAGAAATGAAAATTGAAAATAAGCAAGAAAACGAAGAGCTAAAGAAAACCAAGGAAGAATTGGAGAAAACAAAAGATTTACTTGAAAAGAAAGTCGAAGAACTCAAGGAGGAGTTGGTAAAACAAAATCAGGAAACCCAGAATTTGGTGGTAGAAAAACTGGGAGAAGTTGTAGAGAAATTTGAGGAGATCGAACGTAAAGTACAAAATCAAAAGGTAGATGATAGACAGGATAAACCAGCTTTGAATGATCAAGCTGTCAAAGGTGAGGAGAAAGTGAAAGAAGAAAAACAAGACTTAAACAAAGTTAACAATACAGCGAATGCTGTCGTAACACCCAGTAAAGGGTCATTAATTTCCATATTGACTGATAATAGAAATTTAAGCAATGATCTCCATGCACAACCAGAATCTGCAGTCTATGAACCTTTGTCATATAAAACCGGTGAATTAATTGAACATGCCCGCAATAGCAGCAGTAATTTGGAAAAACGTTTACCATTACCATTGGCTTTGCTCATCAATGCATCACAGGCAAAAATAAATGAAAGCATTTCAAATAATAAAATCCCAAAAGAAACTTTAAATGTGACAAATTCAAATAATGCCAACAGAACCCAAGAAACGGATAAAATCAACATTGATTCTATTCGAAGAGAAATTTTACAATTACATGAAACCGCCGAAAATAGTAACTCTCCCACCAATGATAACACCCAACAACACCAACCGCTAGACAATAAAAACAACGCACATCGCATGAAGCGTTCCAATCTAATGTCTGAAGATAATTGCCTACCAGAACCAAATATTGAAAATTTATTGGCCGGTTCCTCTAGTTTAGGTAATGCCGCTGGAGATTTGGAAATGAAAATTGGTCGTGATTTAAAATCTATTGATAGTGAAGATTAATTTGAATTTATCTGAAGAAATAAAATTTCTCATGGCATTTAATAGGCATTAATTATGAAACTAATAGATTATGGAAATCGAATGATAAAACTAACCTTGTACCTTTTTAGTATTGTTTTAAGATTTAGAATATTAAGCGTATCTACTTATGATGTTAGAATTTATTTATTTTCTCTGTAAATAAATAACTGTGTGTATAGTTTAGATGATTTAGAAATATATAGAAGTGAAAAACATTCAATGCAAAATAAACAATAATAACAACAAGGAATTGTAAATAAAGAAATGAAACTATATTTTAAAAAAAAATCTTGTGGTTTTTGCTGAGTTTTTTATAATCTACACAACAAGGTTGTGAAAAGGCGTAGGTTTTTTAAAGAATATTTTCCCGAGTCCTAATAAGTCGTAGATTTTTTAAAGAATATTTTTTCCCAATTTCTTATAAGGCGTAGATGTTTTAAAGAATATTTTTTCGGAGTCTTGATAAGGCGTCGATTTTTTAAAGAATGTTTTCCCGAGTCCTGATAAGGCGTAGTTTTTTTAAAGAATATTTTTTCCTAGTCCTTTCAAGGCGTACATTTTTTAAAGAATATTTTTTTCGTAGTCCTTCCAAGACGTGAATTTTTTAAAGAATATTTTTTTCGTAGTCCTTCCAAGACGTGAATTTTTTAAAGAATACTTTTTCAGACAATGGCATGAGGTTGATTAACTTCGCGGCAGCAAAAAAAAATGGTAGTTAGCAGCACCAGATTCAAGCATCTCGATATACACAAGGCCACTTGGATTTATCCCGATCGAACAACGAGAAATCAAATCGATCACGTTGTGATAAACGGAAGGCATTCATCCAGTGTTCTAGACGTCCGATCGATCCGGGGAGCGAATATCGATTCGGGCCAATATCTTGTGACAGCCAAGGTACACACCCGCCTTAATGTAGCAGCAAAGGTGCGATCTAATGTAACACGGAAATTTGACGTCGAAAAGCTGCAAACACAACAGATAACAGAATCCTACTCCGCTCAACTTACCCAACTGCTTGACGAAAGCACCCCTGGTCCCGATAATAATATAGAAGCACAATGGCAGAGAATTGCCCACTCCCTACAAACTGCAGCAAAAGCAACACTTGGGTACCAAAGACCACCATCAAGAAATCCGTGGTACGATCAGGAGTGTCGTAATGCTGCTGATATGAAAAACGCAGCGTATAGGGCAACCCTGCGGACAGTAGCAACACGTAATGCAATTGAGAAATATCGGGAGAAAAGGAAAGAGGAGAAACGTATTTTCAGAAAAATAAAGGAAGAACAAGAAAACCGTGAGCGTGAGAAAATCGAGATGTGCAGGAGTCACAATGAAGTTTCAAAATTCTACCAACGGGTAAAACACCAAACCGAAGGCTTTGGTGCAGGAATATCCTCCTGTAGAGATAAAGAAGGAAACCTTGTGACAGATACCGCCAGCGTGCTTAGGATCTGGAAGGAGCATTTTGAAAAACATCTGGTATCAAATAGTAGCGATGAAGAGGATACCCCAGAACCAATAATAGATGACGGTACAGAGTGTATACCACCTAGCCAAGATGATGTCAGAATAGCAATCAATCGGTATAATATATATAGAATAATAAAGCTGCAGGTGCCGATGGGTTACAAGCCGAACTATTCACAATAAGTACAATTTGGCTAGAAGAATGTATGCCCAATGATTGGAACCTCAGCATCCTGTGTCCCGTGCACAGGCATAGGAGACAAGACGATATGTGCCAGCTATAGAGGAATAAGTATCCTTCCCATCGCATATAAAGTGCTATCCAGCGTACTGTGTGAACGACAGAAGTCAATGGTCAATGACATTATTGGACCATACCAATGTGGCTTCAGACCTGGTAAATCCACCATTGACCAGATTTTCACTCTGCGACAAATCCTGAAAAAAACACGAAAAATACATCGACACATTTCACCTATTCGTCGACTATAAAGCCGCATTCGACAGCCCTATCCGTTCAAAGGTTTATGACTGCGTTTGGCATTCCTGTAAATTAATTCGGCTATGCAGGATAACTTTAACAGGAGCCCTTTAATACCTAACGAGGATTCAGACAAGGTGTTAGTTTGTCGTGTGACCTTTTCAACATCCTGCTGGAAAAAGTCATACGAGAGTCAAAAGTGAACAGAAATGGCACTCTGTACACCAAGCAACACATGTTACTCGCCTACGCCGAGTACATCGACATAATGGGTCGAACATTGAGAGCGGTAACAGCCACCTTTGAACAAATTGAGAAGAAGTCTGCCAAAGTGGGTCTGGCAGTAAACGGCGAGAAGACAAAGCTGATGTCCAGTAGACTCGGACCAACTGTGGAACTTGAGAACTACAGCTTCGAGGTAGTCAAACATTTTGTATACCTTTGTACCGCCATACATAAAACGAATGACATCAGTTTTGAAATTCGGAGAAGGATAGTGATGGCCATCTCAAAAGCAAGGTCACCTCCCGCCAGACCAAACTCACACTCTAGAGGACGCTGATATACCCGTGCTGTTATACGGATCTGAAGCATGGGTACTTACACAAGCAGATTAGGCAGCTCTTGGAGTGTTTGAGAGAAAAATTCTCCGAAAGATCTATGGGCCGATCTGCGTTGACGGTGAATATCGCCGTCGAATGAACCATGAGTTGTACCAGCTATTTTCGGACATCGACATTGCTGCAGCGACTACGTTGGCTAGGTCATGTTGTGAGAATGGTTGAAGATGCCCAGCCAAGGAGGCATATAAAAGCGAACCAGCTGCTGGATCAAGCAGAAGGAGAAGGCCAAGAATACGTTGGAAAGATCAAGTCGAAGACTACATCGGATATGGAACGAAAGTTCTGTCACAATCCAGCTAAGTAAGTATTTTTTCATAGTCCTTCCAAGACTTTCATTTTTTGAGGAATATTTTGTCATGTCTTGATAAGGCGTACATTTTTGTAGGAATATTGTTTCATGGTCCTCCCCAGACGTGGATTTTTTAAAGAATATTTTCTAAGGTCCTATATGGGCTTGTACTTTCTATGGAAAATTTTTAAGGTCCTTATTTTCCAAAATTGAAAAATTCAATATTTATTTATTTTTATTTTATAAATTTTATTTTAAATTAAATCGTCTTAAATTAGTTAACAATTTGAACTACTTATAGTGGTTTTTATTTCGTTTTATAGAAAGGCCAACTTTTACGAGAGAGAAAAAAAATTATGATGAAATTTAACAATCAACTACGTTTGAATACGTTTATAAATCGTATAATAATATTAATTCGTAATGTAAAAAGTTGTACTTATAATTTCGATCATAATGGTGTTGAGTGCATAAGACAGCTTATCCAGAGGTATTCTAGGTTTGATATATATCGTAATTGCTTCTTTTTTAGAATTATTACAAAATTATATATATGTATGTATGTAGATCCCATGCGTGTTGGTGGCAGTAGCTACACAATCATCGAATTTTAAACATCACCGCCTAAACTGTGAAGATCATGAAGGACCTGAGAAAGAGAGTAGAATAAAAGAATTTTTAAAAATTATTTAAAAAGAATATAAAATGAAAAGGCAATTTTTAAAGGATTTTTAGCAGTCTCTTAATACTCGGATCCTGTAAATATATTACCTCCATTATAGCAGCAATACTCCAGGCTTGTGTACGACACGAATCACGACAATAGGCTCCATTTTCATTTGTTAATTCTGGCAAACCACGCCAATGCGAAGTTTGAATCTCCTTTAAGTGGGCTCTCAAAATATTCCTAAGAAATCGAACAAAAATTAAACATTGTTAGCTCTTAAGAAATGTATAGGGATGTCAGTTACGACTTACCATGTTTCTGCAATAGTTTCATTTAGATGACCACATTTTTTACCAAATATCAAACGGGCCCTAAGATAATAACCAATAGGCCATACCCATTCGGGTCCTTGATGGTAGTTGGCACCATGGGCTACTGTACAATCGGTGGAATCATTCGAATTGTCATAGTTGCCACGATAGTTCCAATCGCTTGAATCCAAAGTCTTCATGCCCAATGGGCCCAATAAATGTTCTCTGGAAGAAAAAAAAAACAAAATCAATAAATGAACTGGGTCTTGAAAGAAATAAAGAATATTATTTCAAGGTCCTCCCAAGGACCAAGAATATTTTTCAAGGTCCTTCAAAGCCGTGAATTTTTGAAAGAATTTTTTTCAAAGTCCTCTAAAGGCCTGGGGTTCTTAAACATTTTTTAAGAATATTTTTTCAAGGTTTTTAAGGTCTTTCCAAGGACAAATAATATTTTTTCAATGTTCTCCCAAGACGTGGATTTTTAAAGATTCTCTAAGGCCCCCCTAAGGCACGAAGTTTTTAAAGATTGATTTCAGGGATTTTTTAAGAAAATGTATTAAATTTTTTTTGCAACGTCCTCTCAAGGCGTGAATTTTTTTTACACAAGGCGATTTAAATAACATTTTTTAAGCTCCTATATAGCCCTGGATTTTTAAAAGATAATTTTTTCAAGGCCCCGCAAAGGTCTAAATTTTGAAGGAAAATTTTCTCAAAGTCCCATAAAGGTGTGGATTTATTAAAGAATAGTTTTCAAGGACCTTCCATAATTTGAATTTTCTACAGAATAGTTTTTCAAGTCCCTTCCAAGGCTTGGATTTTTGAAAGAATATTTTCTGAAATTTCAAATTATTTACAAATTATTTTTTTTTTTTGAGGTCCCACAGAGGCCTGAATTTTTTTCAAATAATGTTTTCTCAAGGTCCCACAGAGGCCTAGCATTTTTACGAATATTTCCCATGGTCATCTTTTTATTATGTCCTGTCCTTTACCTGGCTTTTTCTAACGCAACCCATGCATGTTGGGGATTAAATATTTCCGGGGCCACAACCATGCTAATGGGGAAATTACATCTCAGCTGATAGTCGGTCCAGCGCTGTGATGCACCATAACAATCCTTATAGATGTTTTTCTTGTTGGCCAAGGGTGCCTTTTCCGTTTCGGTGACAAAGAAGAATTTCTCGAAATTTTCACCAATGCGATTTGCCCATTCCTTCCAGGTCCATTTGGTGGTTTGACCTATAAAAATTAAAAAAAAAAATTAAAAAGAATCTCAAAATAAGAAACGTCTAAGGAAATATTCCACCCTACCATTGGGACCCTTCCTGGTCACCGAATCATATTCAATAATACCCTTCTCATGAAGGGATTGCATAAATCTCAGCACAGCATATTGCAAGCCCACCAATTCCACAGCTGAACCATCACGTGGAGTATTTGGTCGACCACGATTACCAGCCTTTTCCGAAGAACCCATTTTATCCATCCATGTACCACAATTCCATTGATTACCACCGAACACAAAACCAGTTTCGGGATTAATACCAATTTGATTGTTGAACCCATTATCGGTCATGTGGGCATCAATTTCATAGCCAGCATTCCTTTCACGATATTGCAAACCCTGGAAGTGTACCTTCAACGCTTCTTGCATGACATCAATCAGGACTTGATCGAATTTTCCTGGAGGATGAGGTTCGGAGTCATCATATGGGAAAATGCGAGACACCTTATCCTGCAAAATATCCTTGCCATGGGGTACATGATCGATGTACTGCTTAATGCTGTGCAACCACCACCAAACGGCATCACGACAATTGTAACGTGGTTTGGTTCCATTGTCCAGGAGATTGGGTATCAAACCATGACGCAGACACTGGGCAAAGCCGAGAATAATGTAGCGGGCTTCGGTGAAACGACCGGTCAACAAAAGGAGACCACGTAAGGAAATGAAGGTGTCACGACCCCAACAACGCATATAGCCGGTGGAGAAGTGTGGCAAACCTGCGGAGAGGGTGACACATTGCTGTGGTGGTTTTGGTGGTGCCAATGAGGGGCTGAGGGGTGGCAAATTTGCCGATTTGCATACAGTTAGGAACTGCAAAGTGGCCAAGGCCAATGCTTGTGGGAAATCGTGGCCATCACGCACGGATTCTGGCATTAACGCGTAAACCCTCTTCACCAGCACTTCATAGACCCCACTGACAATGGCGTCAAAGTAGCAGGGGATTAAGTAGCGTGGTATCTTCTTCAAAGGATCAAAGGCAGATTTTAACCATTTCGAAAGAGCCTTTGTTCCATCGTGATGTGTCAAACGATCCGCTATGTAATCCATCATCCAATCACCATCACGCAAATTATTACACAATGGATGGCCCAGATCATTTTTAGGTGAAATTTCTGTTAGCAAGGAGACAAAACCTTGCAGACCACAATACACCACTGGCCCATAATCGGGTATGTCATAGGCGGCTCCACCAAAGCCCAAATCACGCTCTTCTTGATCACACGAGAACAAGGCACGATTGAGATCGGTAAAATCTAGCTTATCCACGATCTTAACCAATTCTTCGTAGTGGGAACCCTTCTTGTGATGGAGCGACTCGGTGATGGTTTGCAGATTAACAAAGTTTTTACCAATATCCGGTTTCAACGAAGCACGAATGGCAACCACTGAACCCGGACGCAAGTTAATCAATTCCAATTGTGTCACATTGCCATCATAGGCGGGATGGGGTCTAAAGATTTGCGATTTTTCCAATGGGATATGTTCGCGCAATTTCAGCTGGAATTGTTGATAACCATTCACAACCTTGGGATCCTTCTTGAAGGGCACTGGACGATCGAAGGGTTTATCACCTTTCATATGCAATTCGGCCTCCAAAATAATCTCTTCCAGATGGCCTTCGAAACGTAGGGGGCGAACAAATGTTGGACCAGCATTCGGGTGAGGATAACCAAATGAGGTGTGGGCAACCAGAATGACACTTTGATGGGTCTTGGGTGAGTGTCGGGTAATGGCCACAATATTTGGATCCATTTGATCGACAAAAACTTGATTGAAACCCTCCTCGGCCAGCTGGCCGTGTAGGATGTTCAATGCCCGTTTGGCAGCAACAATGCCGCTGGTGAAGCTGACACCCTTCTCCCATTCCTGATAGGTACGCTCCTCGTCGACCACATGGATCTGAAACAAGAATGAAGAAAAATGTTATTCAAAGGTCTATTAAGCGGATTTTTTAAAGAATATTTTTCAAGGTCTAAAAGAGGCACAGATTTTTTTTTAAATATATTTTAAGATCTACAATAGGCCAGGATTTTACACGAGTCTGAATTATTTAAACAATTTTTTTTTCAGAGACCCACATAGGCCTGATTTTTTCATGAATATTAGAAAGTGTACTCACATGATGTGGCACCAATTCATCGTAACCACGGTTACTGCCGGTGGCACAGCAAGCCATCGACACCAAGGCAGCCGAAGGCAACAAATCATAAACGGAACGCTTCTCCACTGGCGATGGATTATCGTGAGTCTGATCCATGAATAAGGCATGGGCAATATTCGGTGCCAAATCACGTTTGGGATTAACAAAGAATGCTCCCACCGGTTCGCCACCATAACGATAGACCAGACGACCCTCCTCATGGGAATCCCATGCAGACAGAGCTTCTCTAATCAACGATGTAATACCCAAACGATTTACGAACACATTATCTGTGGCATCGGAATTCGTAAACAACTCAGCCACAACATACAAATCAGGATTAACTTCTCGTGCAGCATCCAATAGATATTCGGCCACATGCAACGGCGTTGAATGGCAATTATCCAAACGGACACCATCGAAGATGCGAGCGGTGGTTTGAACATATTCCGTCATATGGTTCCAGAGATGGGGGCTATCTTGAGGACGACGTCCATAGCGTAGTTTGACACTATCACCCCAGGCAATGAGTTCTCGCTTCAAATAGACATTGGCGTGGCCGGGTTGTTTTTCGGCAAAATCTTTTAGCGGATCACTGGCACCCATGACCCAGCCGTTGTGGGCCATAAAGAATTCACCCATTTTGCCGTACATGCCCTCTTCGATCTCCTGCAAAGATTTACCCAAGGCCTTGGTTTTGGTGAAATATTCCATGAAGATTTTATGCTTTTCGGATATTTCGCGAATCCTCGGTCCATCCTCTTGGACACGTTCATAGCGGATGCCAGCCAAACAATTGCCAATGGCATAGTTGAGATAATCCTGGATCTCAGAGCGCACCCCCTCATTCAACCATTCCAAATGGCGTCGGAAGGTATCGGCACATTTACGCAAACGGGCCTCTTCATCGAAACAATCCGGATGGAAGGCATTGAAAATGTCCATGGCCAGTTCCAAATCAACAGTAGCTCCAAAACGACGATATTCCGGGTCGGTAATTAATTTAACTTCCTCGAAACGTTCCGTCTTGGCCACATTGGTTGGAGGTTCCCGCTGACGACATTGTGTAATAAATTCGTTGGTGTATTTCATGACATTACATTGATAGAGTTCGTGAATGTTGACCTTGGGAAGGTAGACGGTATGTAGTTGGAAACTCAACGATTCCAGATGGCCTTCCCATTCGATAATTTTTGGTACCCCGACACTGTCGAGCAGGCCATTGGCAATGTCTTCACCGCATTTGGCCAGTACAGCATCGAGTAAAAAGGCTGGTCTCAAATAGGGACAGGTGGCACACGAGTAGGTGGCATCAGGATACTCCAATAACCATTCCGATTCGTTGGCGGTATGATTCAAGACGATATCGCAAATGGAGGCAACCTAAAGGAGAGAAAAAATTGAAGAAAATTAAAATTCGAACTTAGAAAAAAACCTCAGGATCCAGAGAAAATTGACCTCTTTCGGAAAAAATTGGCCATAGTACGGAACTGAAGTCTGGTGATTTTTTTCTATTAAAAAATTTGACTTCAGTTAGTGCGGAAATGAGGTCTGTCGATTTTTTCTGCTGAAAAAATTGACATCAGTTTCGCACAAAGTCCTGACAATTTCTTTCTATAGAAAAAAGACCTCTGTGCGGAATTGAGGTCTGCTAATTTTTTTCCTATAGAAAAAAAATACTTTTGTGCGGAACTAATGCCTTCATTTTTTTCTAGTTTTGTTTTCAAAGGAAAAAGTACCTCAGTTCGGAACTGAGTCTTTCCACGTTTTTTTTCTTCCAAAGGGAAAAAATTAGCTCAGTTAGGAAATGCGGTCTAATGTATTTATAGCTATACAAAAAAATTAACCTTAGTGCGGAACTGAGGTCTGACGATTTTTTTCTATAGAAAAAAATGACTTCAGTGCGGAACTGAGGTCTGGAGAATTTTCTTTTTCTATACAAAAAATATGCACCTCTGTGTGTACTGAGTTTCACCAAATGTTTTTCTATAGAAAAACATTGACCTCAGTGCGGAACTGAGGTCTACACATTTTTCTATAGAAAAACTTCGAGTTCTGAATTTATTACTTACCCCCCATTCTTGGCGACATTTCTTAACGATTTTCTCCACATCATCGAAAGTCACCTTGACACCCTTCGAGGGAGCAAAATGAGGATTTACACGATTTTGATTGCGTAGCGAATAAGCCGACTTCGAGGCACCCAATTCCTGGATGGGTGTAAAATGTATCATATTGTAACCAGATTCTTTGGTTACACGCAATTTCTGTTCCCAGGTGTTAATGGGACCCAATAGCTTAGACAACACCGTTTGACAACGTACAGAATCCAAGGGTATAACTTTTTGGGCTCCAATAGGGCCAACATGTAATATTGGTTCCACTTGTATGTAAAGAGATCCAGCAGGTACTTGCTTAGGACTGGAAACATAAAATTTAAAATTAATATTGAAAATTTGAAATTATTTTTTGAACGCTTACCAATCTTTGTAGTGGAACCAAAAACGAAATGTTCCCGACATTGTCATTTTAACTTCGGTATATATATCCGTATCCACCACATGGGCTGAATTGTATTTATTGGTGGTGATTTTGGTACCATTTTTCAAATACCAATATAAAATACGATATTCCGTACGCTTGAATTTGCGACCTAAACCCGGGATGAAAAGGAGAATATTGGAGAATTGTGTTATCTCGATGTAATATTTGCAGCTTACCCTCCATCGGATAATTGGTATAGAGAACAATTTCCTTTCCCAACAGACCAGCATCGGGATGGACATGTACTGTGGAGCCACGTTTAACGCGATACAATACATGTTCGGCATCATTACCCTCCTTAATGGGTACACTAAGACATTCCGAATTGGTACCCATTTTTATAACCTGAAAATAAAAAAAAACGAAAATTAGAAATAATTCCTAAAAATTTATCAAGTTTTGATCAAAATCAAATGTAGTAGTTGTACACTGAACAACAAGGTTATTGCGAACAACACAAACATCGAATTTAATTATAAAATATGTAGGGTGCGTATAAGTAGTATTAATTATATTTATTTCATGTACTATGGGGCGTATGATTGTTTATATTAATAATTCGGAAATCATACGTAACATTGACGGAACCTCTTCGAATAAAGGAAAAAATATCTTTAAACCCAAATTCTTCGGAAAAAATTAGAACCCATTTTTAAAGAAACTGAGATCGAATTTTTTCTATAGAAAAACAACCTCAGGAACTGAAATAGGATACTTTTACCAATGAAAGTGAGGTCAAATTGTAAAAAACTCAGTTGCAGCTGAGGATTTTTTCTATTGAAATAACATCCGATCTCTTTTCCCACCGAGATATTTTTTCTATAGTACAGTTCTACTATTCCGCACTGAGGTCAATTTTTTATATAGGAAGAAATCGGCGAAATGGAGGTCAATTTTTGCCTATAGAAAAATTTCGGTACACCTCAGTTCCGCACTGAGGTAAATTTTTTTCTACAGAAAAAACGCCCTCAGACCTCAGTTTTTTCCGCAAAAAAAATCTGAGGTCAATTTTTTTTACTATTTTTTTCTATAGAAAAAAATTAACCTCAGTGTCGAACTGTGGTCTGTGTTTTTTTCTGTAGAAAAAATTGACCTCAGTACTGCCGAATTTTTTCCTTAAAGGTCAATTGTTTTCTAAAAAAAAAAAATCGACAGACTTTAGTTTCGTACTGAGGTTAATTTTTTTCTAAAAAAAAAATCGGCAGACCTCAGTTCCGCACTGAGGTCAATTTTTTCTATAGAAAAAAGAAAAATCCGCAGACCTCAGTTCCGCATTGAGGTAAATTTTTTTCTATAGAAACAAATTTGGCAGACCTCAGTTCCGCACTGAGGTCAATTTTTTTCTTGAGGTCAATTTTTTTCTATAGAAAAAAATTCGACAGACCTCAGTTCCGCACTGAGGTCAATTTTTTTCTATAGAAAAAAATTCGACAGACCTCAGTTCCGCACTGAGGTCAATTTTTTTCTATAGAAAAAAATTCGACAGACCTCAGTTCCGCACTGAGGTCAATTTTTTTCTATAAAAAAATTCGAAGACCTCAGTTCCGAATTGAGGTCAACTTTTTTATTTAAAAAAACGGCAGAACTAAGTTCCGCAATTAGGTCAATTTTTTCAAAAAAAAAAAATAGAACTCGGCAGACCTCAATTTTTTTCTATAGAAAAAAATTCGACAGTTCCGCAGCTGATGTTCTTTTTTCTATAGAAAAAAATTCGGCAGACCTCAGTTTCCCACTGAGATCAATTTTTTTCAAAAAAAAAAAAAAGAATTTTTTCGGCAGAAAAAATTCCTCAGTTCCGCACTGAGGTCAATTTAAAAAAATTCGGCAGACCTCAGTTCCGCACTGATGTCAATTTTTTCTCTACAGAAAAAAATTCGGTAGACCTCAGTTCCGCACTGAGGTCAATTTTTTCCTTCAAACTGAGGTCTTCAGATTTTTTTCTATGCGATTTTTTCTACAACAAAAAATGTCCTCGGTTTTTTTTATAGAGATAAGAGTTTTGAGTAGGTTTTTCATGTATATACTTTTTTATCTTCCTTCCGAAATGGTTTCAAACGCTTCAAACATGCCAGCAGGCTCAAACAACCACAGCCCATTTTTGTGGATTTTTTGTTTTTCTTCAGTTTTACTGTTATTTAATTATTCGTCAATTGTTTTTTTATGGTCTAGTAATTAGTCCGCACATAGATATTTCCATATCTAATGGCTTGGTGATGGACACGCGTTTAAGGTCATCTTCAAATATTCAATTTTCGTCACTTTCATAAGGCAAAGCAATTCAGCTTTTTCTTGTTGTTGTTTTTTCTTTTTTTTTTTTGGTAATTTTTATCAATAACTTTTAATCAAAGAAAAAAAGTCTCTTGTCGTTGTAGTTGTTTTTGTTGCTATATTTTATTATGTCATAATAACTCAATGTCACCCGGCAACGTGTCGCATAACTTTCAATTGAGAATCAATGTCATCATTCAGTAGTAGAAGTGACGAAGTTCGGCGAGCGACCGACCGACCAAAAAATTCTCGACGACCTTTCAAATGTTGTTTCGATTAATAACTACCTTAGACATCGAGCGGCTGTTGGTGATCAAGCCAGGCTCGCCGCATTTAATTCAATTCGCCTTTGCCGCAAAGATTTGTCAATTGATGCTCCTTGGGTTACTGTTGTTGTTGCTGCTGTAATGGCGCCACAAATGACATTCAAATCATCTGTTGTTGTAGTTTTTTTTTTAGGAAAACAAAACTAGAAGGGATTTCTAGACCCATTACAAAAATTTACCTTCTAACCACAACTTAGCGAATTTATTACAAATTTTCGTAATTTATAAATGGGAAGCTAAACGAATTCTACTCAAGTTTCGAAGCTATTATTAGCATTTTATAGTTAGATGTCATACAATATTTAGAACATACCCATACATATTAGTGTTGTTGTTATTTACAATTACACTAGGCAACAAATTAAATGAAAAAAATTATATAAAATTCTGTGGACATTTTTTTCTATACCAAAAAAATTAGCAGACTTCAGTTCCGAACTGGGGTCAACAATTTTGTATAGGAAACAAATTGTTCACCCAAGTTTGGAAATGAGATCTGCGTTTTTTTTTTTCTAAAGTAAACAATTGACCCAATTCTTCGGAAGGTCGGCTAATTTTTTTTCTGTAAAAAAATGTTGACCTCAGTTTGAAAATCAGGTCTGCTAATTAGGTCTGCTACATAAAAAATTGTCCCCATTCGGTGTCAGTGCGGAGGTCAGCTTAGAAGTGTCGGAATTTTTCCAATAATTTTTTTTCCAGTTCTTCTGAAGGTAGGCTAATTTTTTTTATAGCAAAAAATTTTTACCTCCGTTTGAAAATGAGGTCTACTAATTATTTTTCTACATAAAACATTGTCCCCATTCGGGGTCAGTGCGGTCATCAGTGCGGAGGTCAGCTTGGAGCTGAAGTCGATCGAATTTTTCCAATAGAAAAAAATTGACCTCAGTGCGCACGAAGGTTCCGCACTGAGGACATTTTTCCTATAGAATAACATTCGGCAGACCTCAGTTCCGCATTGAGGTCAAATTTTTCTATTGAACAAATTCGATAGATTTCAGTTCCGAACTGACCTCCGCAGTTCCGAAATGGGGTCAATTTTTTATATAGAAAAACATTTTTTATAGAAAAAAATCGCAGACTGAGGTCAATTTTTTCCCCATAAGAAAAAAACAAAAATCCGGCAGACCTGAGTTCAGATTCGGCGCACCTCAGTTCCGCACTGAGGTCAGTTTTTTTACTAAAGAAAAAAATCACCAGACCTCAGTTCAATTTTTTATATAGAAAAAAAAAATAGGCAGACCTCATTTCCGAAATGGGGTCAAAATGTTTTTCTATAGGAAAAAAAATTTCGCAGACCTCAGTTCCGAACTGAGGTCAATTTTTCCTGCAGAAAAAAAAATCCGGTAGACACAGTTAAGATTCGGCACACCTCAGTTCCACACAGAGGTCTGGTTTTTTTCCTACAGAAAATATTCGTCCGACCCCAGTTTCGCACCGAGGTAAATATTTTTGTATAAAAAAAAATCGGCAGACCTCAGTTCCAAAATGTGGTGAAATTTTTTTCTATAGAAAAAGTTTTTCAGACCACAGTTCCGAAATGGGGTCGATTTTTTCTATAAAAAAATCTGGCAGACCTCAGTTCCGCACTGAAGTCTTTTTTTCTACAGACAAAAAATTCGGCAGACCTCAGTTTCGCACTGAGGTAAATATTTTTTGTATAGAAAACAAATCGGCAGAATTCAGTTCCAAAATGGGGTCAATTTTTTTATATCGGAAAAAATCGGCAGAACTTTTTTGAGAACTGGGGTGAAATTTTTTTTCTATAAGAAAAATTTTACAGACCTCAGTTCCGAAATGGGTCGGTTTTTTTATAGATAAAAATTCGCTCGACCTTAATTCATCCGAGGATATAGTTCCGCACTGAGGTATAGAAAACAAATCGGCAGAACTCAGTTCCGAACTGGGGTCAATTTTTTCCTATAGAAAAAAATCGGGCAGACCTCAGTTCCGCACTGAGGTCAATTTTTTCTATAGAAAAAAAAAATCCGGCAGACCTCTTTTCCGCACTGAGGACAAATTTTTCTACAAAAAAAAACCGCTATCCATCTGAGGATATTTTTTCTAAAAAAAAATTCGGCAGACCTCAGTTTCGCCCTGAGATCAGTCCTGCAATAAGGTCGATTTTTTTTCTTTAGAATAAAAATCTCGGATCTTAGTTCCACACTGAGGTTATTTTTTCTTTGGTTCTGTGGATTTTTTTTTTTCATTTCTTGATTTTCAACTTTTTTTTTGTTGCCCAGTGTAATTTTATAGCTCGGTCACAGCTGGTAGACCGAGTTCTGTTTTTAGTTGATAAGACGGACTCACATCACATTTCACAGTCGCATGCCATTTTTGCCACAATCATTAGTAGAGTACGACACGGAACGAGGTAGAAAATAGAAAAAAAAAACACAACCGAATCAAATTATGAAAATTATGCACATTTTCTTCTTTCAAACAAAAACATGATCGACGTCACTGACTGACAGATTTCTCGGACAGCTTCAAATCACCACAGCAAAACAGTTCAACAATACCCGAGTCACTCGACCCACAACAACACAGAGTACAAACGGCGAACGCATCACTTGAAAACATGATCGCGGACAATCACTCACTGACACACGCTGATAATTTCATATTTCAAGATTATCATTTTTGTATTTTTAATTTTCAATATTTTTTTTCAATTCTATTTTTATTTTCTTGTTTGGACATACCTCCTCATAACTTTTCGCTTTAGCCGGTTTATTACCCATGGCAATGGCTTTGGCATAGGATAGCTGTTGTTGTTGTTCTACCTGCAGTGCCTGATTGATTTCGATTTTATCGCCGTTATCGATAAATGGATCATTGACCCGATAATTGTCATTCGATGAACTATCACTGTCATCACTTTTGACATTTGCCTGGCGGACAGGTCGTCGTTTCTCCACCGGGGTACTTGGGCTGGAAGTTGGAGTGGTAGGCCTAGGACCATTGTCATTGGGTTTGGTGTCAACCTGATTGGTGATCTGTTGGAAACGTTCGTAGGCCCATCGGAAAACATAAAATCCCAGGCAGACAGTTAAGACGGTGGCGAAATTACGTTGGACCGCTCGAAAGACCCATTGTAGACCCTCTTGTAACCACATTATGAATGGTTGATTGGCTCGTTGTTGTTGCTATCAATAAAATTATTTGTTGTTGTAATTTTTCTTAATATTCGTTGTGGATTTTATATTTTTTGATTCGTTTTGCATTTCTATGCTGATAATGTCCATTGAAAAAACGGGCCACAGTACAATTAGAACCGAACAAGTTTACGGTTCGACAGTAACGAGTCAAATGATGCCGCACATTCAAAATGTTCTGAAGTAATTGAGGCAATCGAAAGAAAACAAAAACAACAACATCAGCAGCAACAACAAACAACACATAATTGTAGAAACAAATTAAAAGCCTGCCGAAAGTGTATTTGTTTTTTGAGGGGGAATGGGTACAGGAGGGAGACAAGCAACAGAAAATTAGTCAATAACATTATGACAACACCAAATTTTGGTGGGCCGACCAGTTTTTTTCGGGGGGGTGATTATGTAGATAAAAAGTAATTAAAATCTCACAGATGATCCAAAATCGGGCCACAGAGGATACTTTTTCTATAGAAAAAACAGAACTCAATTCCGATTGAGGTCAATCTTTTTAGTTAACCACCGAGGTAATTTTTTTTTCTATAGAAATATTCACCAGACCTCAGTTACCGACGGAGGTGATTTTATTTCTGTAACAACTAAGTTACCAACCGAGGGCAATTTTTTTCTATAGAAAAAAATTCACCAGACCTCAGTTACCCATTGATGTCAATTTTTTTCTATAGAAAAAAAAAATTCACCAGACCTCAGTTACCCACTGAGGTCAATTTTTTCTATAGAAAAAAATCACCAGACCTCAGTTACCCACTGAGGTCAATTTTTTTCTATAGAAAAAAATTCACCAGACCTCAGTTACCCACTGAGGTCAATTTTTTTCTATAGAAAAAAAGTCACCAGACCTCTGTTACCCACTGAGGTCAATTTTTTTTCTATAGAAAAAAAATCACCAAAAAATTCACCAGTTACCCACTGAGGTAAATTTTTTTCTATAGAAAAAATTCAGCAGACCTCAGTTACCCACTGAGGTCAATTTTTCCTGTTAAAAAAATCACCAGACCTCAGTTACTAATCGAGGTCAATTTTTTCTTAAAAAAAAAAAATTCGCCAGGTAAATTTTTTCTGTGGAAAAATATTCACCAGACCTCAGTTACCCAATGAGGTCAATAAAACAAATTCACCAGACCTCATTTTTTTTCATATTAAAAAATCATCTCAGGCTTCAGTTTCGACTATAGAAAAAATCGATCTCCACAGAGAGATTTTTTTATAGAATAAATCCATTTTTTAGAAAATCCTACCTCAGTCTCGATTTGGATTTATTTTCTTATAAAATCGTTCGTCCCTAAGTGTTTATAGGAAAACTGTTTAGGAAAACAACGCCTCCTTTAGGCCTTGAAATAATATTCTTTATAAAATCTATCTTTTTTAGTTTTTGAAAAAATATTCTTTATAAAATCTACGCCTTTTTTAGTTTTTGAAAAAATATTCTTTATAAAATCTACGCCTTTTTTAGTTTTTGAAAAAAATATTTATAAAAACACCACGCCTCTTTTAGACCTTGAAAAATATTGTTTAAAAAAACCACGCCTCTTTTAGTCCTTGAAAAAATATTCTTTAAGAAAACCACGCCTCCTTTAGGCCATGAAAAAGTATTCTTTAAGAAAACCACGCCTCCTTTAGGCCATGAAAAAGTATTCTTTAAGAAAACCACGCCTCCTTTAGGCCTTGAAAAATTATTCTATAAGAAAACCATGCCTCCCTTAGGCCTTGAAAAAATATTCTTTAAGAAAACCACGTCTCCTTTAGGCCTTGAAAAAGTATTTGTTAAGAAAACCACGCCTCATTTAGGCCTTGAAAAAGTATTCTTTAAGAAAACCACGCCTCCTTTTGGCCTTGAAAAAATATTCTATAAGAAAACCATGCCTCCTTTAGGCCTTGAAAAAATATTATTTAAGAAAACCACGCCTCCTTTAGGCCTTGAAAAAATATTATTTAAGAAAACCACGCCTCCTTTAGGTCTTGAAAAAATATTCTTTAAGAAATCCACGCTTGATCCACCTTGAAAAATAATCTGTTAAAAAACAACACCTCTTTAAGGCCTGGGCAAAATATTCTTTAAGAAAACCACGCCTATTTTAGGCCATGAAAAAAATTATTTAAGAAATTCACGTCCCTTTTATGCTATGACAAAATATCCTTGATGAAATCTATGTCTCTTAAGGGCTTTAACAAATATTCTTTACCACCTCAGTCCCGATTTGGATTTTTTCTACATAAAAATCAGTCGATCTTATGTGTTTATAGGAAAATATCAGAAACCCCCTTAAAATGATTTTTCCCACAACCCCCAATGGCGAACCATGTCTAATATGTTTACTTTTTATTTATTTACTAATTTTTTGTTTATTTTTAAATTATTTTCTCGTTTCATTTTTTTTTGTTTTTCCGAGATGTCAGAGACCTTTTGATGATGAGATTGCAAAATAAACAAATTGATCGAATGAACGATCGACCAATTGGTTTGGCCGATTCTCGTGACATTTGTGTTTGAAGTGTTTGCCATTAAATTAAGGAAACACTTTCAGTTTTTTTGTTTTGTTATTTCTAACAAGAATTCACATGATTCTTTTTTTGAATTTGTCTTTCTTTTTCTATTTTGTAATTTTTTGGGTGATTTTCCTATTTTTTATAGAACTGACAATTTCAACAACCGCATACCAATGCAAAAGTCAATGTACTTGTGATATTTTTATTTGAGAATTGCATAAATAAAAGTTCTACAGATGTGTGATTTCGAGGAAGCAGTATGCAGATGTAGTATAAAAAATGGTGGACAATATGTGGCTAATGAATGGGAACTTTTAGTAAAATTTGGAATTATATAAAATATAAATATTAACAAATTTAAAGAAAAATATTCTTTAAGAAATCTAAGCTTTTAAGTCGTTAAAAATCCAATCCTTTTTATGTCTTGAAAAAATATTCTTTAAAAGATCCACGCCTCTTTTAGGCCTTAAAAATATTCTTTAAAAGATCTACGCCTCTTTTAGGCCTTAAAAATATTCGTTAATAAATCCACGCCTTTTTTAGACATTGAAAAAATATTCTTTAAGAAATCCACGGCTCTTTTAGGCCTTAAAAAATATTCTTTAAGAAATCCACGCCTCTTTTAGGCCTTAAAAAATATTCTTTAAGAAATCCACGCCTCTTTTAGGCCTTAAAAATATTCTTTAAGAAATCCACGCCTCTTTTAGGCTTTAAAAAATATTCTTTAAGAAATCCACGCCTCTTTTAGGCCTTAGGCCTTTAAGAAATCCACGCCTTTTTTAGGCCTTAAAAAATATTCTTTAAGAAATCCACGCCTCTTTTAGGCCTTAAAAAATATTCTTTAAGAAATCCACGCCTCTTTTAGGCCTTAAAAATATTCTTTAAGAAATCCACGCCTCATTTGGGCCTTAAAAAATATTCTTTAAGAAATCCACGCCTCTTTAAGGCCTTAAAAATATTATTTAAGAAATCCACGCCTCTTTTAGGCCTTAAAAAATATTCTTTAAGAAATCCACGCCTCTTTTATGCCTTAAAAAATATTCTTTAAGAAATCCAAGCCGCTTTTATTCATTAAAAAAAAGATTCTTTAAGAAATCCAAGCCGCTTTTATTCATTAAAAAAAAGATTCTTTAAGAAATCCACGCCTCTTTTAGGGCTTAAAAAATATTCTTGAAAAAAATACTCTTTAAGAAATCCACACCTCTGTTAGCCCTTAAACAAATTCTTTAAGAAATACACGCCTCTTTTAATCATTAAAAAAATATGCTTTAAGAAATCCACGCCTCTTTGAGGCCTTGAAAAAATATTCTTTAAGAAATCAACGCCTCTTTGAGGGCTTGATAAATATTCTTTAAGAAATCCGCGACTTTTTTAGGCCTTAAAAATATTCTTTAAGAAATCTACCTCTCTTTTAGGCTTTCAACAAATAACAAATTCAGGCTAAAAATGTTCTATAAAATGTCGGTCTAAAAATGGCATTAAACATATTCTTAACCAGTTATCGAAAAAATGTGTAGTCCAGACTCAGACTATACTGAGTCTGGACAACACATATATTTTTGCTCTCTCTGACCAATTATAGGTCAACAGATATACTTTATAACTCTGTCATATTTTCCAAATCTTGTTCCCGAGGTTAATATTCACGCTATAAAATAAAAATGTTGGTCACTTTAGGTTTTGGTTGATTTGACCCTCGGAGTATTGATCGATCATTAACTAAACAGCCGTTCCAAGTATTTGGTCAGATCCTCTTTTCCGTATAAAATATGTGATGTTCTGCATATAGTAATGGCCTCTAGATCGACTAGAAAATCTGACAAGAATAACGTTTTCGGTTCATTGCACCCCCTAAATGTAATCTCAACAGCATCAAAAATTATATGCGTCGTCCTTGACCATACACGGAACTTCATGGCATCATCAAAGCGATCAGCGCGACATTTTCGCCCTCTAGTGGGTAATAGGACATACAACAATATAATTGATATCAATTTAAGGGTCAACCACTCCTCTTGGATACTAGAACTTCTCGGGTCTACTTCAAGAGTAAATACAAAAAAATAATTAATTTTTCACACATTTGACCCTCTAATGCCATGCTTATTCTTTGGCCAGATTCTCGTTCTGGTGTAAAATTCGTGGTGTTCGGGCCATAATTGTGGTCTCTGGAGCGACAAGAAAAAACCGACAGTTTTTGGTCCATTTATATTAGCGGGGCCTTCTTTGACCAAAAACCATCCTACATGCAAAATTTCGTGAGGATTGGTACATAACTGTGGCCTGTATCGTGTTTACAAATTATAATGGACGAACAGCCGGACTGCCAGACGGCCACATATGTCGACATCGACTCAGTTAGTGGAGACATGGCGATCGGTATACTTATAGGCGGTTGGAGGACCAACATTTCGCGGCGTTACAAACTCTTTGGGCTGCACAAAGCTACAATACCCTGACAACATAGTTGTGTAGGGTATAAAAAATAAAAAAAATCAGCACGTAAGAAAAAATTCGAAAAACATCTTTAAACAACCAACCTTTTAGGCATTGAAAAAAATGATTAAAAAAATTAAAAACCAACGCCTGGGATAGCCCTTAAAAAATATATTTCAAATAGCCAAACATGTGTGATTTTTCTTAATATGTTTTAAATAGGCAACAAAGCATAACATTTTTTAAGTAATTTTTTTTTTTAATTTTTAAAACGATTTCCATGTTTTCCGATGTATTCAAAATATATTTGTAAAGATTCATTTGTCATGTATTTTTTAAAGTACAAATGTTTTTATAAGTGATCGTGGATGTTGGAAAATCATATCCAATGCTATTTTCAATACTTTTCAATAGACCCTCTGTAGCTGTAATACAGCTTTAAAGTCCACTAAAAATGTTCCAAAAATGTTCTAAAAATTTGTGTTTTTTTTAGTTCATATAGTTCTTAGGATATTCTATAAATATAAAATAGGTCATTTATATAAATAAAATATTCTATACATATTAAAAAAAATTCAGAAAAAAATATAAAAAATATTTTAAAACATTAAAAAAAAAAAAAAAAACTGAAAACAAAAACAATCCTGTCATAAAAAAAGTTTGTTTGCTATTTATTAGCATCGACTGTTTATTTACATGTTTTGTGGAGAGTAAAGCAGATTTAATTCTCTCTCAGAACAAAACTACTCCGAAAAAGTAATCAGTCAGCATCCAGTAAATTCACAAAAAAAAATCCGACTCACAGCTCTTTAATTTCTCTGTTGCTTAGTGTAATCATAACAATTGATAAGCGATTATTGTTTATTATTATTTTTTTTGTTATTTCAAGTTCATATTCTCGCTGCATAGATAACTAGTTTGACAGTTGCATACATATGTCGTGGGAGAGTGGGTGAGAATACAACACACGCCACTCAGCTGTAGTGCACTTTTTGAATATGCTTTGACACTCTCTTTTCGTAAATAAGTAACTGCAATCGAAAATGTAAGGTTATGATCGGCTATGGATTGCACAAACCCGTTATTATCGTTAAGGTGGTGTAACATTTAAAAAGGAAAGAAAAAGAAACTGTACAGGTGGATGCATTTTATTTACGACACTTTCACAAATTTTCACATTTTGTTAGTTGAACAAACCACAGAAAATTAATCACAATATTTTATTTGAAAAACAAAATATTTTAGTCACATAAGTTTCCATTCTGTTTTTTTTTTTTTGAGATACACATTTTTCACATTTATTTTGTCATTTTGATGGTTTATTTTTGTACACTTCCAGAATTTTTGGATGGATGGTGGGTGGGTGGTAAGAAACACGATTTATTTTTGTTCAATTTTTTATTTTTCTTTAAAATTTCAAATATTTTATTTTTCATATTTTCTTTATTTGGAAATTTACCTAGACCAAAAAAACACTTTTCGAACGACTTGAAGTGGCTGCAAAGAAAAATTAAACGCACACTCTCCGAAGGAATCGCTTTATAAAAATGAACTGAAATTCTTGGCTTCGCAACTTTTCAAGGTGACCTTTCGAACAGAGGAAATAAAATGTATTGCCTCTATTCGGATGAAACACTTTTATGCTTTTGAATGGGACGCCGCGAACGACAGCCAGAATAATCAACAACCACCACTCGCACCCGACGCCGTGAATAACAAAACTACGGTCCGACCCACAGCTGTTTCGATGTTGTGGCAGCTTTCCCCCAAAAAATAAAGATTTCAATTTTTTTCCTCCTCTCTACTTTCGCTCTCTCTCTCGCTTATCGGAACAACAAAAGAGGAAAATATGCCGAACATTTGGTTGCCACACACTCACACTTTGTTTTGAATGGTTTTTTGTTTTTATTTTCACATTCGTATCTGAGGGATTGTTTTGATGACGTCACAATGTCATACATATAACGCTGACTAGCTGGTTGGCTGGCAGACAATCATATGTTTTTATTTTTTCGATAAAGCCGGCAAAGTATGTTTGTAAACAAATGCCAGATTTTTGTTCTCTATACTTTGCGGAAGCTAAAATTTTTTTGGCGGATAACCATGACCGGTTTGGATACTCACGAGAGTTTTACTTTTTTCGAGAGACAATAAAGCTTTTTATATGAAAAAGCTTACAGAGTTGTATTTCATGGGGAAAAAATAGGTGTTAACAATTAAAAAATTGAAAAATCGCGTGGATTTTTTTTTTAATAATTTTTCAAGTACAAAAATAGGCGTTGCATTCTTTAAAGGTGTGTTAAGGTCTATTAAGGCGTGGATTTTTTAAAGAATGTTTTTTTAAGGTCTAAGGTAGGCGGGATTTTTTTAAAGAATATTTTTCAAGGTCTAAAGTAGGCGTGGATTTTTAAAAAATATTTTTTTCAAGGTTTTTCAAGGTCTAAAATAATCGTAGATTTTTTAAAGAATATTCTTTCGAGGATCTACCTACACAAGGCGTGGATTTTTTAAAGATTTTTTTTTTAAGGTCTATCCAAGGTGTGGATTTTTTAAAGAATTTTTTTCAAGGTCTATCCAAGGTGTGGATTTTTAAAGAATATTTTTTCAAGGATCTACAAAAGGCGTGGATTTTTTAAAGAATATTTTTGTAAGGTCCTACAAAAGGCGTGGATTTTTATTAAATATTTTTTCAAGGTCCTACACAAGGCGTGGATTTTTTAAAGAATACTTTTTCAAGGATCTACACAAGGCGTGGATTTTTTAAAGAATATCTTTTCAAGGATCTACACAAGGCGTGGATTTTTTAAAGAATATTTTTTCAAGGATCTACACATGGCGTGGATTTTTTTTAAGAATATTTTTACAAGGTCCTACAAAAGGCGTGGATTTTTTTAAGAATATTTTTTCAAGGTTTTACAAAAGGCGTGGATTTTTTAAAGAATATTTTTCAAGGTTTTACAAAAGGCGTGGATTTTTTAAAGAATATTTTTCCAAGGATTTTTTAATGAATATTTTTTTTATAATAGGTTCTTCAAAAAGCGTGGATTTTAAAAATATTTTTTCAAGGACTATAATAGGTCCTTCAAAAGGCGTGGATTTTAAATATATTTTAAAAACTCCACGCCCTGTAGGACCTTGAAAAAATTATTTTAGGAACTCCACGCCCTGTTGGACCTTGAACAAATTATTTTAGGAACTCCACGCCTCTGTAGGTCGATTAGAGGTCAAGAGCTCATATTTCTTACCCTTGCATCTTTTCCGAATTTGGTTTCCCCAGGGGTGAACTTCTACGCCATATCATTCAATTACATATTTGAATCATGTCCATCAATAGATGGCGCTGACGATGGACCATTACCATGATTGCCAAGATGCGAACAAATCATGTAAATTTTAGATTGTTTATAACTTTTGAACTATAAAAGGTATTTTTATGATATTGGTGTCACATGAAAGGTAAAAAGATCGTCTTTCTTATAATCCATAAAGACATTTAAAATATGTAAAAAAAACTCATTTATAAAATATTTTACAAATTTCTCAGGTTACTGTGTGTGTATGAATGTATAAAAAAATGTATGTATGTATTCACGCCATTGTACGGCGATATTTCGGTAGTACCAAACAACAGGTAGGTATTTTAAATTATATTTTGGACCAATAAAACATGACTTTTTAAATTTTTTTTTTTGTAATATTATACTTACACATCTATATACATTTTACAAAGTAAATACAACAATTTAATTTTTAAAATATATAATTTATTTTTTGTAGTTTCCAACTTTATTGTACGTGTGCTTTTCAATCCCAAAATATATAAGTTGTTCATTATCATTTTTAATTTTTTTTAAGAACATTCTAAAATCATTTTTTAACAAAATATATATTTTTTTAGTATAAATTCATTTGGGCACCTTTTTGTTCATAGTATTTAGAAGAATATCTATATATTTTTAATTAGTTTGAATATTGTACTATTTTGTTTTGTTTTTTTCTTTCTTTGTTTTGTATTTGGCTAAATATATTTTGTAAACGATTCTTCTACGGGAAATTTTTTTCTCTCTATAGAATATTAACTTAAAAGTATTTTATGAAATGAAAATAAATAAATATTAAAAAAGGGAAAATAAAATCGTGTCACTTGTGGACTGTAAATACTAGGGGAGCCGATTCATCTTCCTGCAGTTGTTCCAACAGGGTGCGATTTGTGGTTTGTCTTTGAATAGTTGTGGCATGTTGGGATTCGATGTCTTCATAGTCAATGGAAGAGGAACGCACCAATTTGAAATGGGAATTGCCATCGTTTTTGGTGATAACCAATGAGGCTGGGCGGGGTCCTGTGGGGGGAACATAAAAATATTATTATTGTTTTTTAGGAAATCAATCTCAAAACCTTACCTGATGGTGGTTTCACTTGTCTTTTCTTGGCACTGCCGCCACCCGCCGCAGCAATCGAGTTATCATTGGATTTCTCGGAAATATATTCCACATTCGATGAACTGGGACTGGCCCGTATTGAAACTCGTTTGTCGGTCTTAACACTGCCCTGTTGTTTAAGTATTGAATCACGTCGTGGTTGTACCGGTGATGTTGGCTGTGGTGGCATCAGACTGCCATTGATAGTCGATGATAATACCGAACTGCAACCCTGAATTTCAGTATCTGCAAAAATATATGGTTTTGTTTTGGGGTACGCAAACAAATGCACAGGTTTTTGTTGTTGTTGTAGTGGCGAAACAATGTTAAAAGAAAAGAAAAAAGAGTGATTTTGTAAAATTAGTAGGGATAACATTAAGGGGGGTGAGTGAGTTGAGGGGGAATATTTTCGGATTGGAATTAAAAAATATAGAGTAAAACAAATATTATTATAAAGAAGAAGAAATAGTAATGATAAGAATGTAATGTGAAACAAATGTATACAACAACAAAATAGAAAAAAATATAAAACAAACCACTTTGTAGAGCAACATTAAGGAGGAAAATAAATTATGAAGATATTTTGTATAGAATATTATTTGAGGTTATATTGAAAGTTAGTTTTATATCAGCAGCGAGATCACGTCATATGTGTGATTTTCAATATTTTGCAGATTTTTTTTTTTTGTTTGGACATAATAGCTTCATGCAACATAATTGATAATTGATAGAATATGGTATAGTCAATAATTTATATCCTTTAAATAAATACATTTATTTATACATAATTTTCAAAAAAATTTACAATTTCATATAAAAATTCAATATTGCAACAACGAGTTGGTTGCACAGAATATTAAAATAAGAAATGTATTTTTTAATGAATATTTTTGAAAACAAACCACAACCAAAAAATTTTTAAAGGATATTTTGTAATCAATAAGTCAGAATTTGATAAAGAATATTTTTTGAAGGATCTACAAATACGCGACTTATCATTAAGGATTCACGAAGGCGCGAAAGGATATAAAAAGACACATTGGAATTTGTTTCGGAATCAATTGCCGTATCTTTATACTTTTATGTCTTTGGTATATTTTTTTAAAGGGCTATTAGAGGCGTATATTTCTTAAAGAATATTTTTTTAAGGGCTATCAGGGGCGTGGATTTCTTAAAGAATATTGATACAGGGACCCACAAAGATTTTGAATTTTAAAAACTTATTTTTTCAGGGATCCATTAAAGAATATAAAAAGACACAGATTTTTTTGTCAAGGACATAAAAAGAAGAATTTTTTGAAGGATCTACAAGTACTTAAAGACTATTTTTCTAGGACCTACAAAGGGGTATAGGATATTTTTGTAAAGGTGTAGCTTTTTTAAAGACTATTTTTCCAGGTCCTTTAAAGACAATTTTTAAGGAACTTTAAGAGCGTACATTTGTTAAGGATTCTTTTTCAAGGACCTAAAGACGCGGAAATTATTAAATTTTTTAAAGGACGTATAAAGGTGTAGATTTTTTAAAGAATATTTATACCCTAGACAACTATGTTGTCAGGGTATTATAGCTTTGTGCGGCCCCAAGAGTTTGTAACGCCGCAAAATATTGGTCCTAGACAAACCTTTAAGTATACCGATTGTCATATCTCGACTAGCAAAGTCGATCCAGACATGTGTGTCCGTCTGTCAGTCTGTCCATTATAATTTGTAAACACGATACAGGCCACAGTAATGGACCAATCTTCACGAAATTTTGCATGTAGGAAGACCCCTAATGCTTTTGGTAAAGATCGGCTAATATTTAGGGGATGAAATGGACCAAATACTTAATTTTTGTCGGTTTTTCTGGTCGCTCCAGAGGCCACAATTATGGTCCAAACATCTCGAATTTTTACATGGAGAAAAGAAAGAAAATGAAGATTGGTCAATATTTAGCGGGTCAAATGGACCCTGACTTTTGTGTGAAAAATTACAAAATTTGTATTCTACAGCGTATATATTTACTCCTGAAGGCCATAGACCCAAGAAGTTGATAGTTGATAGGCAACAGGAGTGGCTGACCTTTAAATTGATACCAATTATATTGTCGTATGTACTCGGATGTGGGAGTTACACTCAAATATTTACAGGTGCTTACGTATTCAGATATTATTTAGTTACCCATTACCACACTATAGGGCGGAAATGTAGCGTTGATCGCTTTAAAATTTTCCATGAAGTTTTTAATTATGGTCAAGGACAAAGCCTATAATTTTCGGAGATCATCAGATTAAAATTTTGGGATGAAGTGGAGCGAAAACTTAATTTTTTGTTTTTTTTGAATCGATCTGTAGGCCACAAACCGAACAACACAAACCACGGTGAATATTTTCCAAGCTCAGAATATAGGACCACATGAAGTTAGATTTTCGTGGAAGTTGTGTAGGGTATCAGATGGTCGGCCCCGTCCGACTATACACTGCTTCGCACACTGGTTAAAAATGTTTTTTTCAAGAGCCACAGCAAGGGAAAATATTTTTTCAGGGACCAACATCGTCACATTTTTAAAGAATATTTTTTCAAAGATCTATAAAGGTGTTGATTATTTAACGATTTTTGGAAGAATATTTTTCCTTATATTTAATGAAACACCAATTCTATGCCTAATATGCTTCAGAACTAATTGAAAATTACTGAAACAAATCATTATTGCGTCATAGGGATTTTTTCAATATTAACGCATTTGACCTCCGAAAAAAGGGTATTATCAGTTCCTGATGAGCCGCTTAACCAACGGCGAAACGCGTCGCATAATGGTGGGTCCGTAGGTTCTTCTCTTGGCTTTCCTTTTCATTGCAAAACTTAGATCATCCAGCTCGACTCGAAAGAGTATAAATTATCACTTCAAATTACTTTCAAATGATCACTGCCCTTACAAGGCAAAATTAAATTAACAGAATTTTTTTCTATTAAAATGAAGATTTTTTTAAAAGAAAATTGTCTCAATTTCAAAGATTTTTTTTGCTTCAGAAAACCCATGCAGAGTGGCTTTCTTCTGTAAAACATTGTTGAACACCAGAGGAATTTTTTCTATAGAATAAATTACAGATCTGCTGTATTTTCGGCGATTTTTTCTATAGGAAAAAAATTGGCTGTTTTTACAGAATATAATTTTAGGGATATTTTTGAGGATTTTTTTGTAAAAAAAGTTTCAATAGAAAAAATTAATTTTCAGACATTTTTTTATTGAAAAAATTTCCTATGAATTGTCTGCACCAATTTTTTTTTGGGATGACATACCTTCAGTCAAATCGAAAGAGGATTTTTTTCTACAACATTTATCCTTCAAAATCGATTTCTTTGCATTTTTATTGCAACAGTGTGGTGTAGAGTATAAAAAGGGGTTTGAACCGGAATGAAAAAAAATCACCATTTCCATCTTATCTTTCAATAATCTAATTTTTTCTGGTGAGACATATACTATTTTGATTTGTACACTAAATTAATAGATAGAAAAAAAACATTTAATATATATTTTAATTTGTTAACAAAGCCAAAAAACCTTCCCCCTATTATTCAGTTAAACCGAAACCATAAAATTATTTAAATAAAAAATAATAATAAATGTTATGATTCATTATGTAAACACACAATATTAATAAAGCAAAATTACATCATTTAAAAAAAAAAGATTATTACAAAAAAATATATATACATCTATATACACAAAAAGGTAATATAAAATCGAAATAGAAGAAACCAGAAAAACGCCAAAAAAATTTGTTAATTTTTGTTTTCATTTTGCATTGCATTACAAGAATAGCATTTATTCAATTATTTTTGTTTTTATTGCTATTAACCTTATATAATATATAGTAATATATTTAAATATATATATCTTTATATTATTATCTATATAAATAATGGTTTGTTATTTATTATTATTTCTAGTTATTAGTATGCAAATATGTATTTGTCTTTCAATTGATTTTCGGGATGGGGTTAGTTAGTTTTTTTGTTCTTAATAAAAACTTGCTATAATTGGGTTTTACATGCTTTTGATTTTTTTTTCTTTTTTTGTATAGATTTTTTTCAATTTTTTTTTTTTAATATTTTTTTTTTTTTTAATTTTTTTTTCGTAATTACTAAACTAATTAAATTGTATATATTGTTGTTAAATACCTACAATAAATATGTGGTTGTTGTTGTTGTTGGTTTATTCGGGTTTGCGGGTTAGTAACAAAAATACAATACAGAGCAAAAAAGAAGAAAGCTTAAAAATTAATCCATTAAAACAGAGATATTGATGAAATTTTGACGGGAGGCGGCGGTAGTAGATATGGTTTATGGCCCATCTTTGTAGATCTGTTCCCCCAAAGTTCTTTTTTCTCGTATCATAATTCCATTATTATTTTTTTTTTCTCATTTCTTTTTTAATTCAAATATAAGAAATTTGAATTATGGTGGGTTGTTGTTCTTGTTGTATTGCATCTGTGTGTGTGTGTGTTTTTTTCAGTTTTCGTGTAAGGGAACAGAACATTAGTTTTTTGTTGTTGTGTGTGAAAGTGTGTAAAATAAAATATAACACTTTAATAAAAAAAAAACATATTTTCTCAAAGCAATTTAACAAACATTTAAACATTTTGATATCAAATAAAAGTGCAATAAAAGCCTTAAGCCACGAACAATAAAACAATGTGAACAAATTTCAGAAACATTTTTTTAAGCCTAAACTAAAATGAAGAAAACAATTTTTAATAAATAAATATAATTTTTCGATTTTTTTGTAAATACATACATATATTGTTCGAGGGGTGGTATACAGTGTAATTATGAATAATGACATTATGTGTGATTTGAAATTTATGATTTAATAAATTAATTTTTTATATAATAAGAATTCCCCTTTTTTATGAAAGCACTTTAATCAAGTTAAATCGAAAAAAAATAAATATTTGAAAATTGAAAACAAAAAATGTTTAAGTTCAATATCAAAGCCGGAGACGGTGGACTTTTGAAAATGTTATCTGTTCCGGTATATGCACTGAAACGTAGGATCTGTGGTGCTTCATTTACATTAAATAGGAAGAAATTGTATATACGAATTATATCATATAGGAGGCACATCGAAATCTGAACCGGACTTAAATTGATGTCCATAATAAAATGCCATATTATTCGTAAGAACGTGAATCATTTGGTGCACCATTTACATGAACTCGGACGAAGTTACATAGGGGAGCTATATGAAAATCTGAATCGATTTAAAACCAAACATAACACACGTCATCCCGGAATAAAATCGATGACCAAAACACAATTTTGTGCCTATCGGACATATGTAGTGTCAATGGAGCATCATTTACTTGAAATCGGATGAATTAAAATCTGAACACATTTCGACCAAATTTGACTCACATAATACTCGACTTAAACAGATGTACAAAGCAAAAATGTTGTGTCAATTGCATCATTTACATGAAATCATATTTGGGAGCTACATGAATATCTGAACTGATTTGTAGCAAAATTGGCAAACATCAATCTATACTAAATTCGGAAGACTATGGCAAATTTCGTATTAATCGGATGGAACTTTTTATAACCTCCACAATAAGGTAAAGCTTCACAATTAAATTACGGGAAATTTATCTTTGGTGATATGTCAAAACATTCGACCTCTATCGAAATTTTTCAGCAAAAATGTTCTTCATCCTCCAAAAACCCGAAATGCCAAAATTTGTTTAAATACCGACAATAGTTAAACTCCTTTTTTAGGGGGACTATGTCAAAACAACGACCAGAATCGAACATTGCCTTGGGGCGGAGAAGACATACCCAATTTTTATTGCTTTCTGGGAAGATGCACTTCTAGCTGATTGATAAAATCCGTCACCTCCCTCACAAATTGACCTTTTATGAGGGAGGTAACGTAAGGAGTGGACTACTGGATCCCATTTTAGGACTTCATATAGGGTTGGTAAAGATAATAGGTTGTGCAAGGTTTGGTTGAAATATGACATTCCATTCGCCTGATATTGGATTTACAAATATTGACCATTTTTGTCGGAGAGGTACTAGAAGGATTGGACCAATGGGTCAGATCTTCCTACTTGATCTAGGCTTGGTAAAAATAATAGGTAGTACAAAGTTTCATTAAAATCGGATAGTCCGTTTGAATGTTATTATAAAATTAATTTTTAGCACAATTTTGTCCATTTTGGGGGGAGGTACCAGAAAGAGTGGACCCATGTGTCCCATCTTCAAACATGATCGAGGCTCGGTAAAGATAATAGGTTGTGCAAAGTTTGGTTTAAATCGGGCATTCCATTAGTTTGATATTGGTATTATAAATATTGAAAATTTTGACCCTCTGTGGGGAAGGTACCAGAAGGAGTGGACCAATGGGTCCCAACTTCAAACATGATCTAGGCTTGGTAAAGATAATATATTGTACAAAGTTTCATTTAAATCGGATAGTCCGTTTGCATGTTATAATAAAATTAATTTTAGCACATTTGTAATCATTAAATAGAATTAAAACCCATTATTCAAAACTGTTTTTCCTATTCCCCATTCTTTTGAGGTTATGACAATTTTTTAATTAAAATATAAATTATTTGGTCATATGGTCAATGACAAATCAATAACACAAGAAGTGTTACCATATTGCTCTGAGATTAACCCTTGTCTAAGAAAGACTCCTTAATTGTGATTGATAGTCTTCAAAAGGTTTCAAATTAAAGATACAATTAATCATTTCTTCATTTTGGGTTTCATAATATATTTATATAGGGTCTGAAGAGCTTAAGGATAGAAAAATGTAAAACCTAATCTTTTTTAATTAGGAAATATTATTAAACTCCATAATCTAATAGTATTTTTTATAATCCCCTTTTGAAGTTATGAAAACAAATATTTCAAATGAAATATAAACTGTTTGATAATAGTTGTTCATCTAGGATATATTAAACCAATCCTTTTTTAATTATTAAATATATTTAAATAAATAGAATACAAAAGGATTCATAACTGTTTTTTCTATTCCCCTTTTTGAGGTTATGAAAACAAAAATTTCACTGGAAATATAAACCGTTGGGTAATTGTGTTTCTGTGTGGTCTTCTAGTATACCTGCATATATTTTAGTTTTACTATTTTTTTATATAACTATTTTACATTACTAAATATTATTGAAAATATAGCACGCATATATACAGTGCCTGGTTATTTTTTTGTAAATAAAATCGTTAAGTATTGAGTTTAAGAGTTTCGTTAAATTACTTGCTTTTGTGTTTTTCATTTTATTTGTGGATTAATTTTTCGTGTAGAGGTTTTACTCATTATTATTTTTTTAATATAGTAATATAAACTGTTGTTCTATATAAATAGCTATAATAAAATTGTATTTATCTGCTTCTTCTTCTACTTAAGATATGTTTGCATATTTCAGTTTACTTAAAAAAAAGAATGTTATTTAAATTTTCAGCATACAAATAAATGTTTTTTGTGTATTAGAAAAATGAAATAAATAGAATAAATTGAAATTGAAAATAATGAAAATTGAAAACTTTTATCATAACTGAAACCAACCCTTGCCCAACCAATTTAAATTCTATAATTTGGTATCATCGACCAAATGATGTGTAACATTATCAGCACCACCGCCGGCCGCACCATTTTCATTGGGTATAACCACAACAGTGGGTATGCCACTTGTTGTGATCGAGGGTGAACGCATTTGTGGCGTCATAGAACCCACAAGGACATCATCGCTAACCGAGGGATGACGACTACTTGGAGACAAGATTAAATTGTTACCAATACCACCACCACCACCACTAGGACTAGTACTATTATTTATTATGCCATTACCCAATATTTGCATGCCACCCGATAGGCTATGTAATGAATGTGAACTGGCACTGCGATTATAATCGCTGGTGGACAGTTTGTGCTGTTGCTGTTGTTGATGATGAGGATGATGATATTGTTGTTGTTGCGGTTGTTGTGTATTGGTATTGGTGGGTGTCGTTATCATATTCGGATTGTAATTGTTATTATTAATATTGTTGTTGTTGTATGGTATTAAATTGTTATTCAATTTTTGCTCATCGGATGGCGAACCGAATTCCGATGATTCTCGTATGGGTGCTAAATGCAGTTGTGCGGCTGCAGCAATCATCTCACCTGTTGGCATACCGGATGGACTGGGTCGTTCACTGCTGGCCACATCCTCAAAGGCATCTTCATTTAATGTCTGTAGGGCGCCGCAAATCATTTGCTCCTCCAAGGTGACCTGTAAATGGGGGGAAAACAATTAAATTTTTGTATTTATTTGGGAATTTCAAAGAATTTAAAAAAACTATTAAAGATAACTAATTGAACATCAATTAAAGTAATTAGAAGAGATAGAGAGAGAAAAATGTTAACAATGAATGTAAAAAAAATAATAACAACAATTGTGGCTGGTAAGTTTGATATTTTTAATTTGGGAAATACTACAAAATAATTGAAATACAATTAGGGTTTTTTAATTTAAATGAAATCCGTTTTATTTAATTTTTGGATGGGGGTCAATCTATAAATAAGTTCCCTATATTTATATCTTATGAATATTTTCCCTATGTCGAGCTAATATGGATTGTACTATGAGGTGGGCATTCAATATGCCTTATATGAGATTTATTAAAAAATGCAAAACTTTGTAGATCCTTCAAAAATATTTTTTTTTTTAAATTAACGGCTTTATCAGACCTTGAAAAAAAATAAAATACATGCCCTTGTAGGACCTTGAAAAAATATATTTTAAAAAATAATTTAAAACAATTCACGCCTTTATAGGACATTGCAATTTTTTTAACAGACGTCGCCTGTTCGAAGGAACATAGACGTGAAATTTAAGTTAAATATGTGATCTTTATCTATATGTAAAGCGACTAACATCAATCCCTAGACATGTCATTCTGCAACCGATGTTAAAATTTGTAAATTGATTTAAAGCAAACTTGACCCACGCTATTTGGTATGCTTCACTGTTTAAAATGTAATATCAATCAGGGACCCATTCATTATTTGGTGTACAATCAACATGAATAGGTAGAAATTATGTGGAAGCTATGCTATATCTAAATCTGAACCGATTTCAAGGAGACTTGCCAGAGATTAATTTATTTTAATATCAGTACGTTGTGTCAATCGGCAGCTATGGGTCTTTAACTCAGTATACAATGCAAACTATATGGACTTTGGTGCACAATTTACATAAAATCGGACAATTTACATGAGAAAATATTTGGTTAAAAAAATGTTCTTTAAAAAATCTACGCCTGTTTTGGTCCTTTAACAAATCTACGCCTGTTTTGGTCCTTTAAAAAATCTACGACTGTTTCGGTTAAAAAAAAAACATTCTTTAAAAAAAATCTACGCCTATTTTGGTCCTTGAAAAAATATTCTTTAAAAATCCACGCCTATTTTAGACCTTGAAAAGATATTCTTAAAAAACACGCCTTTTTGAGACAGTGAAAAAATGTTCTTTAAAAATCCACGCTTTAATAGACATTGAAAAAATATTCTTTAAAAATCCACGCCTTTATAGACATTGAAAAAATATTCTTTAAAAAAATTCACGCCTTTTGTAGGACCTTGAAAAAATATTCTTTAAAAAATCTTTTTTTACGCCTTGTTTTGGTATATCCTTGGAAAATATTTTTTAAAAAATTTAAATTTTAGGTCCTTGTTTTTTTACATCTACACCAGGTGTAGGCCATAGAAAAACTATTTTTATTATATTATTATTGAAAATATCCAAAATGTCCTTGCCTTTGGAAAATGCGTTGTTTGATTAAAAAAATATATTGTTTTAAAAATATGATCCGAATTATATTAAAAATACTCTATATTAATTTAAAAAAATTAAAGAGATTTGAATGGAACTAAAGGGGAGAACCAACTACAATTACTACATAAATTAAAAAATGGAAGTTATAAAACATTTATTAGGAAATAAAACAACGAATTTTAAAAAAATCAATGATAGCAACATCGATAAAAAAGGGTTGATATATTATGTGATTGGATTTCATTTTATTTTTTACCTGTAGATAATCGTATTCATGGACTTTAGACTGAATTTGGTTTGATGCAGATAAAATGTGAATGTTTTTTTTTGTTTTGGGTTGTTGTTGAAAAATAAATAAATAAAATGTTTATTTATATAAAAAATTTGATTTCACATTAACACAATGATTGATTGTGAAGATGGTGTAAGATGTATTTGTAACAAAAAAATGAAATAAAATAATTTTGTGTGAAATTGTCTATAACCTTAAAAGCTAATTGTATTGTGCTGGGATTTTTCTCTTTAAAAAAATTAGACTTTGCTGTTTACTAAAATAAATGTTTATTTGGTGGAGTAATTTGGAAATATTTCTCTATGAAACGAATCAAAGGCTAATCAGCAATATTTTTTAAATTTATTTTAAAGCAAAAATGTAGAGCTTTCCGAATTTTAGAGACCTGCTACCAACATTTTTTATTTATATAACAAAATACTGATTTAATAATAAATGAAGATATACGCCACTCCAATTCGCTTTATAAAGACCTGAGGTCTCTATACAGACCAGTTGGTTTTTTTAAGAGCTGTGGATCTCTATACAGACCAATTGTCCTTTATTAAGACCTGCGGTCTCTTTTACAGAAATACGTTTATGCTTTCTTGATTTTTTATATACCTTTCATAGAGAAATACTCGCTTATTTTTTCTAAATTTAAATTGATTTTTGTTTTCTTTAAATTATTTCCTAATAACTTACCTGTTTCTCCATGTGCGATGTGGTAGAATTTTTCCTTGAATGTGCTGGATTTGCCACTACCACCATTGAATGCGAATCATGGGTATCCTTTGAGATTGGTACACTATTGGCGGCAATTTCCGTTAACGCCGGTGTAGCCTTAAATTTACGCTGCATTTTTTCACAGTCACGCATTGTAGTGATGAGTAAACGGAATAGTTCCCAGTGACCAAAACTTAAATTGAGTTCCTAAAAATTAAAAATATATTAATTTAAATAAATTTAAAAAAAAATATTTTCCAATTATTTACCTTTTTCAAATCATTCAGTTCGCAGTACTTTAAGACGCGCCCATTTATGGCATTTTCTCTTAGGATGGGAGCTAATTTTGCTAATGCAGGTTTCAAATCTTCAATACGTTCTATTAAGCTGATGACACCCTCAACAGTGAGGTCGGAGAGTTTTGTTTGTAGAATATCATCCTGAAAGGAGAAAAAAGTCAAAATTAAAAATTAAAGCAAAGAAGAGCGGAAGTCAGGACAAATGTTTCATGAACAATATGAAATGGGATACCATTGCATATATCTGTGGAAAGACCTAAGAACCTTTATTGCGAGTAAATAAAGGACCGTACTTATAATAGAATTTAAGCTATAGAGTGTACTAAGCAAATACAAGGTCAGGATGTCTATAAAAGGTCGTTAAATTAGTAATAGGAATTGTAGGTTCCACATGATCTCTTCTCTTTTAGCTGGTTATTTGAATACTTGGAACTTACCCCAAACGATTCGACAGGTGAATTCAATAGCGGTGTCATTGGCGGTTCACTGCTGGAACTAAAGTTACGCTGGCGCAATTCCTGTACGGCCGAATATTCATTTTGCAAGAGTTGATATGGCGGATATGGTCCCATTGGCGAAGGCATATATGTGGTTGGTGTTGGTGGCATACGAACGGGATGTTGAACACTAGGACGATTTTGTAAGACCACTGAACCTTCATCCTCAATGGATTGTTGATCCTCTGTTGGATAGATATAGAGAGAAAAAGGACGAATTAATAAAATTAACAATTTGGATAATATTTTTTATCTCCGAAACCTACCCTTTAGCACCTTTCTGAGATAGGGATCTAAATTAATAGTGAAGGGTAAGAATATGCGCAAATCTGCTACCAATAAATCAGATTTATGCAATTGTAGGAAAGCATCTAATTTGCGTTCATCACGATCCAATTCGAGAAGGGGAGCAGCTTCACGTAAGCAGGCCAATTTGGGGCGGACTCTGGAGAAGAGAAAGAAGAATTATATAAATATTAAAGATCCGAGGTTTATAAAGACCATTTGGTCTGTATAGAGACAGACAGGGCTGTATAGAGACCACAGGTCTTTATAAAGACCAATTGGTCTGTATAGAGACCACAGGTCTTTAAAAAGACCTATTGGGCTGTATAGAGACCACAGGTCTTTATAAAGACCTATTGGGCTGTATCGAGACCCACAGTCTTTATAAACACCAATTGGTCTGTATAGAGACCACAGATCTTTATAAAGACCACAGATCTTTATAAAGACCAATTGGTCTGTATAAAGACCACATGTCTTTATAAAGACCAATTGGCCTGTATAGAGACCACAGGTCTTTTTAAAGACCAATTGGTCTGTATAGAGACCACAGGTCTTTATAAAGACCAATTGGTATGTATAGAGACCACAGGTCTTTATAAAGACCAATTGGTATGTATAGAGACCACAGGTCTTTATAAAGACCAATTGGTCTGTATAGAGACCACTGGTCTTTATAAAGACCTATTGGTCTGTATAGAGACCACAGGTCTTTATAAAGACCTATTGGTCTGTATAGAGACCACAGGTCTTTATAAAGACCAATTGATCTGTATAGAGACCACGGGTCTTTATAAAGACCAATTGGTATGTATAGAGACCACAGATCTTTATAAAGACCTATTGGTCTGTATAGAGACCATGAATAGGGATATGTATAGGGACCATAGGCGTATAAATAGACCAATAGGTCTTTATACTGATCATTGGCCCTTATAAAGTAAGCCTTTCTATTGTAGATCATTAAGAGACCTCATCTCGTAACTTACTTTTCATAGACCGCTTGGAGGGGAACGCTGTCATCGAATGATTCCATAAATTGATCATGATGCAGCACAATCATACTGGCTCTCAATGGCCATTGTTCAGTCAAATTAATCCAAGAACTTAGACGATACCAGCTAAAATCAATTTGGAATGCCTTGAGGAGACGAACTGAAAACAAAAAGAAAAACATATTAAATTAAATGAAAAATTAAAAAACTGTTCCCTCCCCTTCCTCTGCCGCACACTTACCCGTAATATAAATAACATTCATCAAACGTCTCATACTACGTGGATTAACATCACTAAAGTAATCATCGGTTAACATAATTCTCGACATATCCAAGACACCTTGAGGATTTTGACCCAAACGATGTAGATTCGAACCAATTGAACTGGCCACAGATTCGGAGAGCCGTAATGACTTCTTACCCGATGCAGCACCACGCCCACCTCCTAAGGGACCACGTAATTTCTCCTGACTTGACATAATTTCCGATGCATTCGATAGCCTTCTGGCCGAGACAGAATGACCCAATGTGGGTCCATCATCAGATTGTAATTCACCATAATTGCGCTTGAATAACAATGCTGTCATTTGAGCCCGTTGTACCTTACGTAATCCGGAATTTTGCAAATACACCGGCAAGTGAACCAAATTCCTTAGGAAATCATGACCACCAATACCACCCTCGGTAAAGAGACGACGACTATTTGCCTCTGCCGCCTTGGCAATAACATGTGGATCCACAGCAATCAGCATTACGAAGGGTCGATTTGGTGAAGAGAGCAATGTCTGTATGGCATTCAAAACGGAGAGGATCCGCTCGGTATCACAGGAATCTAAGGCATCCACAACACCCACTAGGCGACTTTGTTGATTGGTGAAAGCGTCGAGGCATTTAATCATATCTGTCATTAATGCCACTTCGGTGCCCAAGGCTGTAAGCGGTGCTCCTTCACTCGAACGAATGGTTCGCTTCAAATGTCGGCCCTGCGATGTGAAGAGGGCACCAACTGCTTTAGCCAATACATGCAGATTGGTACAGATAATTGTGACCAAAATGGCACAGATGACATAAATTGACATGAGGACATTGTTACTATCTACACTGGAACCATGGGCAAAGTAAGCCACAACCAAGGAAACGCCTGCAATGAGGGTTAGCAGGCCCATTTCAAAGATTACCACAATAGGAACACAACACATGCGACGCCAGCGCCAACCAGCTGTAACTTTCAGGGGTTTGGGGCGAAAAGCTCTGTAGAGACGAGTTGATAGCCAACCATAGTGGACCTCTATGGCCTCAAACAAGGAGGCTAACATATGGGCCACAGCTCCTTCACCTGTCGGCGATGCACTACTAGCCTCGGCAAAGTGAAAACGTACTGGCTTTGCTTGGCTATCCGCCTGAGCACCGGGTGGATGACAAAAGGCCACTTGGAAAATCAGTCTTAGACGTCCAATACGTTTCTGTATGCCATGATCGATCGAGTAGGCCCAGTACATATCCATTTGGTAGTTGCAATAGCGGATAATGGCAAGCAGCAGATATGTAAAGGCCAGGAAAATGGCACCCGCCACAGGTCCCCAGGTAAATGACCAGGTGCACAGGCCGACAATGGTGCCGAGGATAAGGGCCAGATGGAAAATAACTAGGAATAGCAGACCAGCTGTTCTTATCGGAGGTTCAGCCCATTGACGGGCAAAATTTGTCATTTCTTCTCTTAACTTGGTGAGCAGGAACGATTTGCCGCTGCCCCATTTGGCATAGAGACCCACGGTAATGGGTGTGGTGAGAGTGGGTTCACTTAGAACATCAGCCAAGGCCGAGGAGTATAGCTCATAGCCCAACATGCCTTCAGAATCTTCGTTCGTGTTCAAACGTCGTGAACCAAATACTTGACCCAATATTGTCTTCTGATGGGCTGTATCAATGGCATAGGGTGTCTCTCCCGACTTATTGGCCCGATATAGCAATTGACTGTTCTTCGGGTTCCTCAGCAAAGCCTCAACAATTGCCTTGGACCTGGCACGCATTGCTATGTGCAAACATGTATCACCACGTTTATCGCTAGCACCCACTTTAGCCTTACGATCTAATAACATTTGTACTATTTCCAAGTTGCGATTGCGTACCGCCCTCAACAGAGCCGTGTCGCCATCTTTGGTCGCAGCTTCGAGATCAGGATTTGTGTGCAGGAGGATTTTGACAATCTGATTGTGACCCTTCTCTACGGCGGTATAAATGGCGGTTTTACGATCTTTACCCTGGATATCGACATCAGCATGTTTCTTGAGTAGAGCTTCGACAACACTGCGATGTCCACCCTTAACGGCGTGTATAAGGGGTGTATCGCCTGCACGATCTTGTATATTGATATAGGCACCGGCAGCAATTAAAGCCGCAGCAATTTCCTGATAACCTTCTCTGGCGGCAATAGCCAATGCGGTCATGCCATCTTTATCCAAGGCATTAACATTAGGTTTCTTTTCCAAAACGGAGGTAACACAATCGGTGTGGCCACCAGAGGCCGCCACCAACAACGGTGTCCATGAATACATACCAGCTGTATCAACATTAGCACCAGCTTTCAAGAGGGTATCGACAATTTCTACATTGCCTTTGCGACAGGCCCACACGAGGGCAGTGGTGCCATATTTATCGCCCACATTTACCTTGGCACCGCGGGTTACTAACATTTCTACAATATCCTTAAAGCCACGGCCAGCGGCCCACAGCAATGGTCCCAAATGGTAATTACCATGGACATTGACATCGGCACCTTTCTCCAAGAAGAATCGAACCAATTCGGTGTGGCCACGATAGGCAGCCCACATCAATGAAGTCCAGCCTCCCTGAAAGAAGGAAATACAAATTAGAATGGAATTGAAATAGAAAATTGAAAATCTTCCTTACCATCTCACGATGTTCCAAATCGGCTCCATGATCTAACAACAACTGAGCAATCTCAAAATGCCCCGCCTTTGAGGCACACAACAGTGCCGTCCAATTGTCATTATCCTCGGCCTGAACATCAGCGCCCCGGGCCAATAGCTCACGCACAAAAGCCGTTAGACCTCGTGTCGATACAATCATCAACAATGTGGCACCATTTTCATCACGATCATCTACCGTCAGATGGCGACTATCTAAGATGGAACGCAAACCGGATATATCATTGGCGTCCACATATTGCAGAAGTGCTCGATGTCCCAGCGAACCCATAGAATCTCCAAACCGATTTAGGTTCTAAAGTTTTGAGAGAAAAACGAAAAGAGAAAAATAACGATAACGATTAGTAAGGTGATAAAGAGAAAGTGGGAGAGATAAAAACAAAAAAGGGGATTCATGCAGTTCCATCAAATCAATTTATAATAAAGCTGAAACACAAGCATATCCTGTAGCTAGTGTTAATATTTCCATTTAAAACAACAACAACATATTTTTTTATGATTTACAACAACATGAAAAAAACAAGTCAAACTGTGTAATATTATAAATATTTAGTATAGAAATTGTTGATAACTATAAGTCGTAGAAAAAATTGACTTCATGATAGAAGTCTGATCTAAAAAGCTTGCTGGGATATAATAAATATTAATTATATTATATATAAAAATATTAATAAATATTAAATATTAATAATATAAGTATGTATATATACAAATATAAAATACAAAAAAAAAACAGTAAAGTCGAACGGGGCCGACTATATATACCCTTCACCACTTTGGGTATATACAACAAATGAATCCTAAGTGTCGTCGCATTTTTGAAGGACCAGTAAAATGAAATTGGATCCATAAACATGTCATTCTGCAGCGTATACTAAATTTTTCATTTGCTCATATATAGAGTTGCTTCTTACCATTTACTTAACATCGGACGAAAATATATATAAACGCTATATCGAAATCTATATCTGAACCGATTTTCACGAAAATAAGCACACATCATTCTAGACTTAATTCAGTACGCTATGCCGAATTTCGTGCAATTCGAATCGTATATAGAGACTTTGGTGCACCATTTACATAAAATCTCACGAAAATATATATGGGAGCTCTATCTAAATATGAACCGATTTTCACGAAAATTAGAACACATCATTATACAATCAAGTCAGTACGCTATGCCGAGTTTCGTGTAAATCGAAAGATATATAGAGACTTTGGTGCATCATTTAAATTAAATCGGCCTAAATTATATATGGGAGCTATATCTAAATATGAACCGATTTTCACGAAAATTAGAACACATAATTATACACCCAAGTCAGTACGCTATGCCGAATTTCGTGCAAATCGAAAGATATATAGAGACTTTGGTGCACCATTTACATTAAATCGGCCGAAATTATATATGGGAGCTATATCTAAATCAGAACCGATTTCCACAAAACATAGCACACATCATTCTAGACATAATTCAGTACGCTATGCCGAATTTCGTGCAAATCGAAAGATATATGTAGGGACTTTGGTGCATCATTTACTTAAAATCGGACGAATATATATATATGGGACCTATATCTAATATCTGCACCGATTTCCTCCAATTTCAATAAGGTTCGTCCTTGGGCCAAATAAATTAGCTGTGCCAAATTTCATCCAATTCGAATCAAAGATGCGACCTGTACTTTGTTTACAATTTAACATCAACAGACGGACGGACATGCATAAATCGATTCAGAAAGTGATTCTATGCATATTCTTAAAAGGAACCACAGGTCTATCTCGATTGCTTTTGCCTTTCACAAACATATGCACAAAGACATAATACCCTGTGTCACAGTGTGGTGAAGGATGGACGTGAAAATAAAAACGATTTTAACTAGCGAAGACACAAACCGAAGTATACACGACTATACAGTATAACAGTTATATTGATCGGTATAACACAGTAGTGTGAAGTTAAAAACGAATTATAACAATGGAATTTAGTAAATTTATTTTGTGAATCCTATCATGCTAAATCAGGGAGGGAAGGTACCATTGGAAAGCGCACAGGGAGTACTTTACGAAAAAATTATACCCAGATTATTTCATATCGGAAATTTTGAAAAAAATATTTTTTTCAAGAAGTTATCAACGAATGCCACTGTGCAAAATCTGGGAGGGATAGGTCCATATGGAAGGTATCATTGCAAAACCCACAGGGAGTACTCTGAGAAAAAATTATACTCAGATCATTTCATATATTTTTTAATTTTTTTTTTTCAAGAAGTTATCAACGAATACCACTGTGCAAAATCTGGGAGGGATAGGTCCATATGGAAGGTATCATTGCAAAACCCACAGGGAGTACTCTAAGAAAAAATTATACCCAGATTATTTCATATCGGAAATTTTGAAAAAAAATAATTTCATTGGATCATTGGAAAGCCCACAGGGAGTACTCGAAGAAAAAATTATACTCAGATCATTTCATATATGAATTTTTTTGAAATAATATTTTAATAAATCCACGCCTATTATAGCCTTTGGAAAAAACATTTGTATATTATATAAATATTTATTATCTTTATAAATATTTTATTTTTATACCCTACACAACTATGTTGTCAGGGTATCATAGATTTGTGCAGCCTCAAGAGTTTGTAACGCCGCGAAATATTGGTCCTAGACCCACCTTTAAGTATACCGATCATCATATCTCGACTAGCTGATTCGATCTAGACATGTGTGTCCGTCCGTCTGTTCGTTTGTTCATTATAATTTGTAAACACGATACAGTCCACAGTTATCGACCAATCCTTACGAAATTTGGCATGTAGGAAGGGTTCGGCCCAATGAAGACCCCCATTTTTTTAGGTAAAGATCGTATAATAGTTAGGGGATGAAAATTACCAAATACTTAATTTTTGTCGATTTTTCTACATGGAGAAGGGGATTGGGCCAAAGAATAAGCATGCCTGTTTTGATAAAGATCGGTCAATATTTAGCGGGTCAAATGGACCCTGACTATTGTGAAAATTACAAAATTTGTATTCTATAGGAAATATATTTACTCCAGAAGGATATAGACCCGAGAAGTTGATAGTATATCCAAGAGGAGTGGTTGACCTTTAAATTGATACCAATTATATTGTCGTATGTACTCGGAGGTGAGAGGTACGCTTAAATATTTACAGGTGCTTACGTATGTGTGTGTGTTTTTTTTTTGAGTCAATCTATAGGCCAACATCATAACCCACGGAGAGGAGAATCTGGACAAGTACAGCCCTCGTCTACTGAATATTAAAATTATTTGTTGACAAGTCGGTCAAGAGGGTAAAAATATTGCGAAATATTGCCCAACTTCTGAATATAGAATCATAGAAAGTTAGATTTTCCTGGAAGTTGTGTAGATTATCATATGGTCGGTCCCGACCAGTTTTCACCCACAATGAATTTAAATATTTAGATAAATATTTTCATATTTCTTTCTATCACACAAGAACAAAAAAGCAAAACTAAATCCCTTTCATTATCCCAGTACAAATGGTGTGTTCATTTTCTTTCAAAAAAAAAAAAAAAAAAAAAAAAATTCCAAAACTTTTTGCTAAAAGACGAAAACATGTCTGCTTTAAAAGTTTAGAGAATGACTAATTAAAAAAATATGAACAAAATTGAAACATAAATTGTCTACGAATAATTAATACCTTATAAGACCTTAGCAACCTGTACAAGAAATTTGAAATGCGTGCACATTTCTAACACGTGAAATATATGTTTTGAATATTTTCGCCATTAAAAATAGAAAAAAAGATATCGCACATGTTTTTTGTTTTGATAGTAATGGGTCAATTTCTAGTCGAGCCCCCCAATTAATATTACAAAACAAACAATCGCCCAAAAAAAATATGCTTACTAATTGCCAGCCATGAGTATCATAGATGATGGAGTAGACAAACGACTAAAATAACTGTAAACTTGAAATATTTCTGTAAACAACAAAAAAGACACATTCGAAAAATGTGTAAACAAATTAAATGACATCGAGATGTATGTATATATTATGCATGACATGTGTTCGGACAAGCAAGGGTAAGTATTTGGATCTACTGCCTCTTGACTGCTGGGTAGGTAGGTAGACATGATGATTGATAATGGAAAAAAGTGTTGTGTTTTCTTTTAATTTTATCTTATCAGAAGAAATATATATAACGTTGCAATAGCTGTTGCTCTTCGAGTACCACACTCGTATGGGGGGTTTTAACCGAACTAAGCCATCACTGTAGTGTGGCATGGCTACTGTTAATTCTCACACCCCAACAAACAACAATAGTGGTAGTAATAGGGGGGCAAAATAAAACAACAACAATAACAAAAAAATAGTTGTTTTCAAAACACCTACTAACTGTCATTGTCATATTTCTCTGAAATGAATGTCACAGCATCCCTACTACTCATGGTTATCTACCGTGTGTGTGTGTTTGTGTGTATATACAACATCACATCTCTTTCCGTTTTTATGACACTGCATAATGACACAGACGACAGCGGAATATGCCAAACAAATATAAGAGGAATTAGTCATATAAATTATTTGTTATCTTAGTTTTATTTTAAGCGAAATTTAATTCAAATTATTTATTATTTTATTTTATTGTTGTGATATTTATTTAGTAAATGTTGGGATATTTTTGTTCTGTTGACATAAAGTACTTTGTTGTTGTTACTACTGTTTTCATTTATTATTTTTTTCTGCAAATGGTATTTAGTGAGATGCAGACTGAATTTTTGGAATTCCTTGACATATTTGGAATTCCTAATGATCTCATTTAATGTTTGGAGCGAAATCTCGATTTCGGACTTTTTATCGTTAATATTATGAAAAGGTATATAGGTATATGTGTACCCCCTTGACCGATATCATCAAATGAGCAACACATATGCCTTGGCCAGATTCCTTTCTTCGTGTAACATTTCGTGAAAATTGGTCCATAAGGTTAACCTGTAATTTGTGTATAGTCAAGGAGATCCAAAATCACAAAAAATCGACCGGCAGGGCTATGCCCAACAATCAGGTTAGAAAATTGGCCTAGGAGGACCTTGATGTAAAGAGGTCACAAAATGCCAAAAAAAAAAAAAAAAAAAAAAAACGCGCATTTCCTTATTCTATTTGTAAACTATAGACATTCGTGCCTAGGGCGGATCTTATATGGGCGCTATAATGAAAAATCGATTGACATTTTTGTTTCTTGGTGGAAGAATTTGTAGCCACCCAAGGATACCGTAATATATGAAATTAGAGGCAACTTACTTGGAAGATGTGTCGGAAATCCGCATTTGGTGGGTTATATGGGGGCTGGCTATATCAAACCGTAGGAAAATCAGACACCCAAGAAGAACATCAAATATCAAATTATAGATATTTCGGTTGAAAATAGTACCCAAAATCAGTATGGCAAAATATCGACATTTATGGTAGTGTGATACCATTATATGGGGACTCCCCGAAAAGGTGGTCCAATATCCAATATGGTTTAAAAACTTGCCAAAAATTCTCAAAGTACTAAATAAAGGTGTATACTGTTATGTGGCAGCTTCCCCAAAAACTTGAGCCAATATCGTTTTTAGTAGGGATATTCTCTACCCAATGAATCAAAAGTAAAATTTATAGCCAATTCTATTGAAAAAGGGACCCAAATTTCCCTTATATATGAAAATTACCGTTATATGAGGGCTATCCGATATCTAATGATAATCTAAAATACCAAATTAGAGTCAATTCGTTTGCAATTGAGATTTGGTATCCAATGAAAATCTGCAATACCGAATTTTAGCTAATTTGATTGAAAGATGTACCCAAACTCCCCAATATATAGATATATAGATCATTTTTGGAAGGGAAATTTGGTATCCAAAGAGAATCGAAAATTCCAAATTACAGCTAATTTGGTTTATAAACATTTCCAAAATCGTCAAAATGACGATTGGTTGAAAAAACATAGTAAAAATACTCAAAATCCCGAAATTTTCGAGGTACCGTTATATAGCGGACTATGCAAAAAAAAAAAAAAAAAAAAAAAATGGGAAAAATATTGATGATTTCTGGTAGGATGATTTCGTACCCGATGAGAACCCAAAATATCGAATTAGAGCCAATATGGTTAAACAAACTTCCTAAAATCCCGACAAATTGGGAAATACCGGTATATAGGGTACTACCTCAAATATAAAAAATGTTGGTAGGAAAAGTTGAAACCCAATGGTAACTCAGAATTCTCAATTACAACCAATTCGATTGAAAAACCAGTGAGCGGAGCTGCCGACCATATGTTACCCTACGGAACTCTAACTTTCTGCGAATTTGTATTTTTATAGTTACACACTCTTTACCGAACATCACAACACAACCCATGGTGAGGGAAAACTGGACAACTAATTAGAAGGGCTGTACTGAATACTAGTAATATTTGTTGGCCTCTAGTCGGTCAAGAGGGCGCAAATATCGCGAAATATTGCCCAAGCTCAGAATGTAGAACCACAGAAAGTATGTTTTTTGTGGAAGTTGTCTAGGGTATCATATAGTCGGCCCCGTCCGACTATACTGCTCCGCTTACAGGTTTTTTATATATTTTTTTCCAATTTAAGGATTTCCAATTAATTTTTTAATTTTTTATTAAATTATTTTTAAATTTCTTGCACAAAATTCTAATACACATAGAATATGATAATCAGTAGTTACAAGTATCTACGCGTGACGGCAATATCTGATGATCCACACCTATAATACCAAAAATAATCCCTCTTGAATATTAAAAAAATCACATAATCTATAAAAAAACCAAAAACAAAAAATCTCTACACTTCCTCATGCAACTTAAATAAATAATTGAAATTAAAAATAGAAAATTTGACAAAAAAAAATCAAAACTTATTATATAAAAATAAACTTTGCATTTTCAAGTGGGTGTATAGAGCGCGCAAGCACCCACATTATCGCCATTTTAGGGGAATTTTTAGGAAATCATGGCCGATTAAAATTTGTTTATGGATGGTGGGTGATCTTTGATGTCAATTGCAATTTGCCACTTAATATATCAAATGCAAAACAAATAATAAAAACAATAATAATAATTTACAATCGATGGAGTTTTGTTTGTTTTTTCAATATGATGACAGATACTGTCTACTGGACTTCTTATCACTCATTTTGACATTTGACGTCTTAGTATTTTTCTATATTCACAAATTTGTGAAGAGTGGAAATTTTTTGTTAGACATACAAATTGCTTTGGTCTTCTCAATAAATTATTGGATATTAATTTTTTTCTGTGAAAACAAAAAGAAAATCCTTTTTTTAATGTCTTCCTCATAACAACAATGTTGGCTAGTAATATGGCCTACAACAACAGCAACGGGAATATTGTCATGTCATGCCTAAAAATTATTTGAATTTAAGTCATTTCAATTTTCAAAATTGACTTGACGTGTTAAGAAATTACTTTTAATGTTTGTTAATGCCACTGTTTTGTGTTTCAATTTCATTTTTCTTCGAAATTAAGTGTCATTTTGGTGTCACCGCGAAAATAATCAAAGCTTCGGTATTTATCAAATGATTAAAAGGGTGTTTCATAGGTAGCCCATCACTGTTAATGCCAATATTTATTCGCGTTATTCAAAATATTCCACATTGTTAGGTGGCATTAAATTCTACTATAAATTGTGTACGACGCATAATTTATTAATAAGATTTTTTTTTGAAAAAGTGAACTATCGAAAGACATTTGTAGGGATATAATTTTTTACCAAATAAATACGAGGTTGGTAAAAAAATCAAAAAAATAATTTTTAATTTTTTTTTCTAAAATATTTTTTTTTATTCAAAATTTTTTTCAAAATAAAATTATAAATTATAAAAGTGTTCAATAATAAGTTTTTTAACATAAAATATAAAAAAAGATTTTAAAATGAGTAATTAATAAGTCCCATTTTCCATATTTATATTCGCATGATATTATGAAATATATTTTCAGGCAATGTTGACCATTTTGTGGGGAAGCTACCAAAAGGAGTGGTCCAATATTTTCCACCTTCGAACTATGTTTAAGTTTGAAAGTAGAATTGCGACGTACACAATTTTTATTAAAGCAGACTTCATCTTCGAACTTCAAAATATTATGTCTGAAAAAATTTCTGCAGTGACTAGCCGAAGTTTTTTTCTATGGAACCCGGTGTAAATTTTGTTAAAAGAAAAAAAAAAAAATCATTACAACCCGATGTTAATTTATTTTCTATAGAAAAAACTATCAGTCCCCTTGGTCCAATGCTTTCTCCTATAAAAAAAATCCATTAAGACCCTTGGTCAATTTTCTTCATATAAAAAAAATTCGTTAGGGCCCTTGGGGACCATATTTTCCGTATTGAAAAACATTCATCGGGAACCTTGTGTTAATTTTGTCTGTATAGGAAAACATTAATCAAGACCCTTGGGTCATTTTTTTTCTGTATAAAAATAAATCGTTAGGAACCAAAGTCCATTTATTTCCAAATAAAGAAAAATCGTACTGCCCTTTGGGCCAATTTTTTCCCATAGAAAAAAAAAATTGTCAGTGCCCTTGGTCCATAGAAAAAAAAAATTGATCAGGACCCTTGGTAAATTTTTCAGTAAAAGAAAACAATCGACATTTTTTCCGTATAAAAAAAAATAAATTCCTCATGAACCCTGGGCCATTTTTTCCAAATAACAAAGAATCGTATATGAAAAAAATCGTCAGCACCCTGTTCCATTTTTTCCATATAACAAAAACTTGTCAGGACCCCGGGGGAATTTTTTGGCCTATTTTTTCATTTTCCTCTATAGAAATAAATCTTCAGGACACTTGGTCAATTTTTCGGTATAGAAAAAAATTCGTTAAGGCACCCACGGGAAATTTTTTCCCTCTTTGGCGCTTTGGGCCAATTTTTTCTGTATGCATGTAAACCGTCAGGACACTTGAGCAAATTTTTTTCCTTATAGAAAAAAAAATTGTCAGGACCCCTGGGGAAAAATTTTCACGCATAAAATTGTCAGAATCCTTGGACCATTTCTTTTCCTATAACAAGAAATCGTCAGCACCTTTGGTAAATTTTTCCGTATAGATAAAAATTTGTTAGGGCCCATGGGGAATTTTTTTTCAGTATGGACAAATTAGTCTGATCCCTTGGGCCATATATTCGCCAGGTTTCTTCGGCCAATTTTTTCTGTATAGAAAAAAAAAATTGTCCGGACCCTTGGGAAAAAATGTTTCCCTATAGAACATAAAAAATGTCAAGATCCTTGGGCCATTTTCTTCCTTATGGAAAAATCATCAGCACCTTTGGTCAATAGAAAAAATTTGTCAGATACCTTGGTCCAATTTTGCGTCAGGACTCTTGAGCCAATTTTTTCTGTATAAAAATGAATCGTCAAGACCTTGTGTTCATTTTTTCCGCATATAAAAAAATTTTGGTTTGAAACTTTGGTCAATTTTTGGGTAAAGAAAAAAATTCGTTAGCGCCCCTGGCGATTTTTTTTTTTTGGCATAGAAAAAAATTTTCAGGTCCCCTGGGCCAATTAAGCGCCAGGACTTTTGGGCCAATTTTTTCTGTATAAAAATAAATCGTCAAGACTTTGGGAATTTTTTTTCTGTACCATGGACCATTTTTTCCGCTAAAAAATATAGTCAGTTACCTATGGTTCTGACTATATTTTTTTGGGTATAGAAAAATATTTTTTTTTTAATTTTCGAAATAAAAAAAAAATAAAAGACTCAACAAATAGTTAAGGACTTTTCTCGTACTGCCAAAAAAAGGTAAAAACTAGCAGATTTTTAATTAATGGAAATTCAAAAAAAAAAAAAAACATTTTGGAATTTTTTCAATTCTTTAAATTTTGTATCCCGAATTTCAAGGTGGGTCTGCCTCAAAAAAAAAAAAAAAAAAAAAAACTCTTTAAAACCCTTACACACATATTTTTTCAAGATTTTATTTTTTACTGAACTCAATATTGCCAACCTTTTTATTTTTAAAATTGTTACCACTATTTTTAAATTCAATTTCATAAATTTTTTCTCAATGGCCTTGATGATAGTTTATTTTTATATTTTTGTCACATTCTCACTTCTTAATTTGTTGTTTTTGTTAATTTTTTAAATTATTTGTATATGAATAATAATAAAAAACTATTTTTGTTTTTTTTTTTTTTGAATACTAACATTTTTACTTTTTTTCTTGCCGGGCGTGCGTAAATTATTTAAACTTAACCGCGACGCACTTAAAATTAATTCATCCCAACTCTTTGATAATTTCATACTAAACGGTTTAGTTGGACGGGTCACAACATTTATACACAACACAACACAAAATTAAATTAATTTTTTTATTTTCTTTTTGCGCGTTTTCCGTTCAAAACATTGGATAGTGATGAAGTGAAGATAATTATTTGTCTAGATGTCACGGTAGTTATCGTATGGCTGGATGGATGGATGGGTGATAACTTGGCCAGTTAGATATTGGCTGTTTCAAGTAGCGGTAATAAAACAACAATTCTGACAGCTATAACGCGGCATCAATGATATTGATGACAATGTCGAGGTTGGAGGTGGTGGTTGTTGTGGTGGTGGTATTGAACGTTATAAACATTTTTCCCGTTATATTAGGCGTATTTAAAAGGGCGAAACAAGACGTAACGGTTATTTTGTTTATTTTTTGTTGTTTTCTTTTCCTCGATCGCTCACTCACACACTTACTACCCCCTTTGTTGTGATTCCTTTTGGAGTAGAAGAGGGTACTCAAGTGGTGCTACGACGACGACGACGTTGATGATGATGATATCGTGGAAAGTCACGGTCTCCACTATATATTTATATGGGTGAAAAACAAACTGCAGCACTCTCGGCGATAGTATAGATTACAATACTACGCATACGACCAACCAACCGCTCGACCGACCGCTACACTCACACACACACAGCAAAAAAAACAAATTTTGAGATGAGTGACAGTTATTGGCTGTGCTTGTTAAAGGTGGCGTCAAACGCGATAAGACCCTTCCTAGGTGGCTTTTTTTCCTGCTACTGCTGTTCGACTGTCAAAAGGGGCTCATTGTTTTAAGACCTGGAGATTTTTTGACTTAAGCACACGAATATTTTTTTTATTTTCAAAAAAAAAAAAAAAAAACTTTTTTATTCAATTTTTTATTGGTAAACACACACACTCAGTAGTATGCACATATATCATTCCACTTGATTCGATATCATTTCATTTTAAATGACAGCTGAAAGTAGCTACCCAATTCCGCAAATTTCAAGGTAGATTGTAGAAGAGGCCCGCCGCCGTCTGATATTCGGGCATATTAACGTCTTTCTTCGATTATCTCAATTAAAAATTTATAATTAATTTGTTTTTAAATATTTGTTTATGATTGCTAACAGAAATGACGTAAAATATGACAACAACGACGACGGTGACAACCCGGCGATGAGGACGAGGACGAAGACGTCGCTGACAACATCAATCATTTGCCACTTATGTTTATTTATTTGATGGACAAGATTATGGTTAAGAGGTTTGGGTTGTTTTTGTTTTTGTTATTGTTGTTCTTATATTTTATTAACTGGGAGACACTGTATTCATTTTTAATCTTGTATTTATTTAATTTTTTGTTTTTATTTATTTTTTTATTTGTTAGATGCACACGCGCGCCACTTCAAAAAAATATTGAATGAATGAATTTCTTATTTTGCTTCTCTTCGCCTTCTTCTGGATTTGTTGCTTAAAATTAATAATATTTTTCTTTAAAAAAATTTATCCGAAACGCGTCCCGTGTTGTGATCACGTTCAAGGTACAATACGTTATGAATCGTTTATTATTTATTTATATTTTTTGTAATCATTATTATCATAAGTGTGCTGAGCAACATTATCATCATCGCCATCATCTGTTTGATGGCGGGTTTTGCAAAAAAAGGTAGCCGGCACAGCAGACCGCCACCTAAATGTGAATGTTTGTGTGTGTGTTTTGATTTGAAAATTTTTACGGAAGCCATACGGCATTTTTAAAGAGGTTGGGAGAATTGTTGCTTTTTTGAGTATAACAACAGAGAGCAACACACCATTGAGAAACGTGCTTGAAGAAATTGTTGTTGTTGTTGTTGCTTTTTGTCAACAAATTATAAACTAAGCATTTTAAATATTCAATATCGTGTGCTCGCTTCTCTTTTCTTAAATCGTTTCCTACGGTGGATTTTTAATTACCCTGACACACTTTTTATTAGGATTTTTTTTTTTGAGAATTCCTGATGTAAACTTAATTTATAGGAACTCCCTATATTTTTCTCGAGACCTCTAAACATATATTTTCTTATGGGCTCTCACTCTCTTCAACTTTAATTCTTGAGAAAAATATCTTTTGCATAATTTGTGTTCTCAATTTTTGAAAACAAAAATATTTTCTTTTAATTTTTGAAACTATAGAGAAATTTAGAAAAAATAACCAGTAAGCGGAGCAGTATATTCGACGGGCCGACCATACGATACCCTACACGGAACTATAACATTCTGCGTCAATATTTCCTGATATCTACACCCTGTTGTCCGATTAGGGGTCAACAGCACCTCTTCCTTACACTGACACATTTTCCTAATATTACTAATGTTCTGTACAGTTCTTCAAATGGCTTGTCGATATTCCCTTCACCGTGGGTTGTTTTGTGATGTACGACTTTCAATTGTGGCCGTTGTCGGTCCACTTCATCCCAAAATTATTATCTGATCATTGCCGAAAATTATAGGCGTTGTCCTTGACCATTACTGGATCCTCATGGAACATTTCAAAGCGATCATCGCTATTTTCCTCCCTCCAGTTTGGTAATGGGTTACTTAATAATATCTGAATACGTTAGCACCTGCAAATATTTAATATTGGTATCAATTTAAAGCCCAAACACTTCTATTGGACATACTATCAACTTCTCGGGTCTATTGTCTTCAGGAGTATATGCCATTTCATTTTTCACACAAAAGTTAGGGTCTATTTGACCCGCTAAATATTAACCGATCTTTATCAAAACAGCTATGCTTATTGTTTGGTCCATTTCATCCCTTAAATATAACTTTATTCTTTTCGATTTTTTTATTTTATTTTCCATATTTTTTTATTGTTAATTTTCCATATTTTTTAAATTTTTTTAGTTTTAATTTTCCATATTTAAAAATTTATTTTCCATATTTGTTATTCTTAATTTTCCATTTTTTTATTTTTAATTTTCCATATTTTTTTATTTTTAATTATCCATATTTTTATTTTTAATTTTCCATATTTTTAATTTTTTTTAGTTTTAATTTTCCATATTTTTTATTTTCAAGATTTTACATTTTTTTATTTTTATTCTCAAGATATATTTTTTTCTATTTCTAAATTTTCAAAATTAATTAATTTAATGTATTCTATCTAAATGTTATTAGCAAAAAATCGTTTTTTTTTACAAAGAATGAAACTTTTAATTCTCCTATTTTCTAAAACTGTTTTCAAAAATTCCGCATGCTTCACAAACCTTTTAAACATTTGCACTCCTTAAAAATGTTCACTCGCCAAACAAACTCGTTCATTTTGTTTAGTAAACATATTGCCGATTTAATAAACAAACCTCTATGCTTTATACCTGCTTCTCAAACCCTCTCCCATCCACCTTGTAACAACTCACATCCCTTGTTTATTAAACAAATCAACATTTTATATCTCCAATTTAATAAACAAACCACTAAATATCACCCTATATACCCAAAAACTGCCTATATGCTCTCTGCCATTAACACATATACCCATACTCCTTATTTAGTAAACAAACGTCTAAACGCTTAATTTCCAATGATTTCTGCCTTACAATCATACACCCACCAAAATTCAAATAAACAATCGTCTAAGCATCTGTCTTATTCTCATTTCAAATGGATCTCTCTATATTTTCCCTATACCACATGTACTCTTTATACTGGTTGTCTCTCACTACCACCCACCAAAATACTAATACTCCTTACTTGAAAATAAAAAACTACAACATTTAATTGTTTTTGATCTCTGCATAGACTCAGAATGGACTTAACATCTCCATCATTTATTTCTAATCTCTTTCTACTTCCTTATCCCTCATTTAGTAAACAAACCAATAAACATCTTTACATATACAATTCTCATACGGTTAAATTCTTATTGGGACTCTCTACCACCTACCACAATTGGTAAACAAAACAGCAACAAGTAAGCATCACCATTATTCCCTTTTCTAATTGATCTCTCTCTATATATATATATATATATTTCCCTCTCCTTTATTTAGTAAACAAACCAACAAACATCTCCGCATATACCATTCTCATACGGTTAAATTCTTATTGGGACTCTACTATAAACACTCAAGTAAGCATCACCATCATTCCCTTTTCTAATTGATCTCTCTCTCTCTCTCTCTCTCTCTCTCTATGTATTACCATATCACCTGTTTAGTAAACAAACCAACAAACATATCCGCTAAAACTATTCTCAAATAGTTATTTTTCTTACTGGCTCTCTCTGGCACACACAACCACCCACCTAACTAACTATACTCCCTACCTTAGTAAACAAAAAAACACGACAAAGCATCATAAGGCATTCTCAAACATTTACCGTAAGAGTAATACCGTGAGATTAGTAGTTGAGTACTCTCATTGTAGTTGTACTAAGCTCATAACAAAAACCATCGTGCATTTGTTTACACATGTAGACTCTCTGCTTTATGGGGACTGTAAATAATGAAGATATAGTAATTTGAGAGACAAGTACCCATATACAGTTGTTTTTGTTGTTTTACTGTTATTGCCGTTTATAATCGTATCGGTAATCTTAATGAGTATAATGAGAAGTACTTTAGAGCGTATGATTTATATCAATCAATCAACAATAAAGACGTATTTAATTGGAAGGCCCTTTGAATGGTTTCTAATTTACTATGGAAAATGTAAAACAAAGTAAATTAAAAAAATAAAAATAGGCAATTGCTTATTGTTGTTGTTCGTGTATTGCCTTTGTTGTACATAATAATGATCATCTTTATGATGAGCATTTTAATGAGTAGGCATACTGCAGAGCGTATGATTTATATCAATCAACAATAAAGACCTAATTTATATGAAATTATTAGAATATTTAAATTTCTTTAGAGTTTTTCTTTTAATTAAAATTATGAATTTATAATATATAACGATTCTGCAACTGATGAAGATCAAATAATGTGAAAGACATATAATGTATGTGTATCATTATTATTATTATTATTTTTTTAATTTTTTTGAGTAGGGCGTATGATTTATATCA